GCAAAAAAAGAAAATCTAGTCGACTCTACCTGGTGAAGGAAAAGTGCTGGTTTATTGGCATCACTGGTTCACATTATAACTAATGAAAGTGCTAAAAGAGCACATTTTCGCTTTTATATGGTGTAAACATTGGTAACCATTTTATGAAATATAAAATAAAGTACTTTCTAAATGATTTGTTTCCCAAAATTCGAAATATTCATGTAGCAGCCGGGCAACACTGTCAATAAATCAAACTTCTTCGAACTTTAGTGAAATTTCACAGGTTGCCCGAGTGAAAGGGTTTTTCTACTGGCGCTTTTCTACTTTCTGAACACGTTGAGCAGTTAATTTTCCTACACAATAATTTGTAATGAGTGCTTTACTATTCGCGACTCCAGCAAAACGGACGCCGCCAAGCGGGAAAACCGGGAACCAGCCGGTCCAGGTCGCTCCCCGCCCCTCCGCGTCTCTGGTGGCTTTCGCGGAGACGTGTTGTCGGCGCGGTGGCGAGCGATGTAATTTGACGAAGGTCCGAATATTTCTTAAGTTTGCCTGAGTGATCATTAGTGTGGTGAAGCCCGAGTAGATTGTTTTCTTCTATTACGTGTTTGAAAGCCCGTTTACTCCACAGCACACGGTCGCATGCTTTCGATTTCTTGGATGGGGAGGAATCACGGAAAAACTTTTTGATTTCTTGTCTGTCTCGAATCACATTCAAAGTGACGACTGCTTGGTAACTGATACTGGAGGGAACATCAATGTTGCAGTCAAGTGAATGGGAAGGTTCGATAGCTGCTTTTCTTGAGTTTGGTTGTGTTCGGTTAGCTTCAAGTTTGAGCCACCCACGCCGGTCGGTGCGTTGGCTATTCATCTTGGCTGCTTTTCGCCGAAAAAGCCTCTGGACCACACTGAAGGAGTTGGGCTTATTTCGCAATTACTTGATTCAGGAAAACTTGCTCATTGCAAATGATGAATGAGGAAAATTATCTGTTTTCAAAAGGTGGGAGACAAGTCTCGCAACGTTAGATGCTGTCACGGCATTTTGACCTATCGCGCCTCCAATATTTATATTACGAGGACGTCGAAGCCAGCAGCAATATGCGTCTCCATTGGTCAGGTTGACCGGCCACAAAAAAAATACTAATTTTCTCCGTTCAATGCAGAGAGGTTCTGCGCGGATCTTCAATGAAGACTCTCTTCAGTTTGTCCCCGTGCTGCCGGCTATAGAACCATTTGGCTAAGTTTAAGTAGTATGTCTCCGTCTGTCAATATACTTTTATTCAGCGGCTCACCCAATAGCTAGTCAACTAAGCTCATATTTCAACCCGAAGGATATACTAATATCGCTTAGTTCAAGTTAGCGCATTGTGTTGTCTCATTCCTACCTTCGTCCCTGTCTTAAAAGTAATCAAGAGTCATCATGTCATGTAGGCCAAATTAAAGTCCATTTGGTCAAAAGTAGCTTAAAGAAATCAAGAACAATAATAATGCAGATAGAGCTTGTAATAGATGAACTGGTGGTACAGTAACTCGAAGTAATCAAGAGTCTCCAAAATGTCAATTAGGCTGAATTAAAGTTAATTGGGTCAACAGTAACTCAAAGTAATAAACAGAGTAATCAAAATGTCAATTGAGCTCATAATAAATAATTTGGCTGAATATTACCTTAAAGTAATCAAAAGAGTCATCATAATGTCAATTAGGCCCTACTCAAATATATGGGTCAAAAGTAACTCGTAGTAGTCAAGAGTAATAATATTGTGAATTGAGCCAATAATAGATCAACTATTTGCATAGTAACTCAAAGTAATCACAGAGGCACCACAATGTCAATTAGCTGACATAAAGTCAATTGAGTAAATAGTAACTCAAAGTAATGAAACTACTAATCATCACATCAATTAAGCTTATAACAAATCAATTGGCTGAATATTATTAGCTCCAAGTAATCAATTCATTAAGATGACAATTAGGGTGAATTTAATTCCACTGGGTCAATAGTAACTCGAAGTAATCAAGAGTACTTATAACATGACTCTTGCTCATAATAAATCGGTTAGTCTATAATTTGCTCAAAGTAATGTCAAGAGTAACCGTGATGTCAATTGGGCCGGATTAAGCTCCATTGGATCAATAGTAAGTCGAAGTAATCAAAGGAGTAATAAAAGTGGTAACTGAGCTGAGAATAAATCACTCGGTTGTATAAAAGCTCAAAGTAATAACGAGAGTGAAGATTATGGCAATTAGACAAATATAAAGTCAAATAGGTAACTAGTTAAAATATTGAAAATGCCGATATAAACTCAGTTGTGCGACTAATATATGGGGAAAAGATAGAAAAAGTAACCACTAAGTTAATTGAGTCAATTTAAAGTCAATTGGGTGACTAGTAACACAGAGTAATCCAAAGTAGTACATTAATCCAAACCTTAACTGAACTTTTATGCAGTTACGTTGGTCAATTATATTTCAAAGTAATCTACTGAGTAATGAAAATTTTGGTTCTATAAAGTTTTATGCCAATGATACCCGTGTAACCAAAAAGTAAACAAAACAGCTTCTACCAAGTTATATTTTTGTCAATAATTCCTCAAATCGAGAGAGTAATCCAAAATGTTTGTGGAACTTTTACCTTGTAATTCGTATTCTTAATTGGTCTAAGTAATTAGAATTGCAAGCCGTACCGCCATTAAGCTTTAAATAGTCAGAAGTGTCAATAATTGTGCAAAGTAATCAAAAGTGTAATCACAAACTGCAATTTCACTTTTATCATATGAATTGTATCAATAATAGGTCGAACTAATAAGAAAGAGTAAACAAAATGCCAATTGAGCTAAATTAAAGTCGAGTGCACCATTAAGAACTCGAGGTGACCAAAAGGGTAATCAACATGTCAATTAAGCTACATCAATCATGCGACTAATAACTCCAAGTAATCGGAAAAGTTATCAAAATATCAGCTGTCCTAAACAAAATCTGATGCTATAAACAATTACACTAGTTATCAAAAGTGTAAGCGAAACGCAACCACCAAACATAAATAAGCACATATATATATTGTGGATAAAATTCACTGACGCCGGGACTAAACTGGGTAGCGCTGGGCATAAATTGGATGGCGCTTGAATTAAATTGGATGTCACTCGGATTAAACTGATCGTCGATTGAATTAACATGAGCGGGAAAACCAGCAGTAATAGTGTTAGGATCAATGATAAGGTCTCGGCGTAAATGCAGCTAGCTAGCTATGGCTGGATATAAGCTAACGTTGCTGACTGGGAGGTATGATCATCCTTGCTTCGTTGCCCCTCGCTACGATAACAAGCTTGGAAGGGACACATGACCTAAAAATAGCATTTTTCAACTTTTCTTGATTGTACAGCAATAGGTAGCCCACTCCATATTTCCACCCGATTTGCTCTCAACTTTAGGTGGGCTATCTCTCGAGATATTACGGTATGTATGTCTAAATGGACGTATACCATGTGTTCAAAGCTGATCTACATTTCTGTTATACTACTGCTTCTAAAGCATGTACATGAACACTTCGAACCCACTTAAGCAAAGATAGATTTCTCAACGTATCACACTGCGATTTACTACAGAGGTGCGACTAAGTGGTGAAAGCTTCGAGTGAAAATATCAATGAATGAACTTGCCTGGTTCAAAAGAGAAAAACCTGTTTCGGAAAACCAGCCACGGCATTCGCAGGCAGTGCCGCGATTGTGTTTGCCTAGTTGTATGTGCTGCCATAAGATGGCGCAATGTGAAACACGAGAGTATATGTGGCACCTCGACCAATCCTCTCCATACCAAAAATGGGGAGCCACGAGGGATTGAAATTCTCGTTTTCTTATTCAGTTTTTCTTTTAAAATAATTAAATTATCGCACTTTCAGAATTGTACACATGCATGCCGGCATAGTGGAAAGTTTTCAAAGATTGGCTGCTAAGCTCAGCGCTGGCGTGTACTCGACATTCCGACATCTGTTGACCGCACACACAACTAGACAAGCATGGTCAGACTAAACATGATGTAAGTAAAACAGCGCAAATGACAAATACTAGCAAGAAGGAACAACCAAGACAAACAACTAGTACTTGTCATTCTGCACTGTTTTACCTACATTATGTTTAGCCTAAACCAACTAGCCCAGCTTTCAACTTTGGTAAAGCATGGTCAGGCACAAGCAGAAAATTCCGCTGCAGATTGTCCGAAACAGGTTTTTCATTTTTGGGGAATGAGGTAAGTTCATGGGGTAAAAGGAAAGCGACAAAGGATGAAGACAGAACAAAACATCAGCTAGAAAAATATTTTGTCCCGTCTTTGTTCTTTAGGTTGCTTTACTTTTACTGCTGTAACTTACCAGTGCACTCCAATTCCTAGGGCAAGTTCATCCATTGATATTTTCACTGTAGCTTCCACCACCTAGCTGCACCTCTGTAGAAGATCGCAACGCAATACTGTCCAGCAATAAATTCGTATACACAAATGACCATGTGTACCAATCTATAATGGCTAGCGAAAAGGACAAAGAGCATTTCAACATCTAGCACACGGGAGCCTAGAATATCTGGCAGTCAAGTCAAACCAGTAGATGGCAATGTCCAGAGACATTAAAAATTTCGTCAATGTGACTGAGTATTTCACAAATAAAAAGAGCACATGAATGTACAACTGGAAATAAATGTTTACTTGCGCCTGGAACTAAACCCAGAAATGAACCATACATACTGCAACGACGAGAGCTCGATTGACTTGATGCTGCCAACCACGCACATTTTATACAGGTTACAATATCGAGAGCATTCCAGTCAGGAACACGGAATAAGTTCCCAGATTCTACTGGAACGTTCCAGATGATTAGCAAAGGTAAAATGAAAGCTAGGCCGGTGGGATTGAGACCCCATGCCTCCCCGCAACAGCCGCAAGCGTTGCCAACTTGGCCCAGCACGCGGCAATGCATGACAACGAGCAAACGCTCGGAGTAGGGAGAAGTTAAGGGCAGTGTTGCATACCAGCTGGAAGTGCTCGAGCGAGACGCGACAAGCCTGGTCCTCTTTCATGCGGGGGTTGTTTTTGTGGTCCACCAAGCACTTGAGCAGGTCTCCTTGGTCAACGTCCTGGGACAGTGCACTCTGGAACAAGGCCAGAGATGTCGGCAACTGAGTCCTTCCACCTAGTAACAGCCGACATCAAAGGGCCAGGGAGGAAATCCTTACGCTGCAGAGGTCCTTAAGCACTGCCTGACAGGTGTGGTAGAGCGGGTAGTTGAGCTCCAGGTGCTCAGCCTCTTCCTCCGTGTAGTTGGACACCGCCGCACTACACTCTTGGCTCAGTTTCTCCAAGTTGGCCTGAAGACACTGCATCTCCTGAGAAAGTATGATGTTTCACTTTTTAAGCGCAGGCGGACACGACGAAGAACAATTCCTTTCAGAAGACTGACTCTGCAGTCTAGTCAAAGGTCATGTATGCCCACGGACCACAAAGCAATACTGAATATTGGACCGATTCGTGTCAGAAGAACAGGTCAACCACACCAGTTCGTATCATGACGGAGTGTGTGTAGTGTTGTTTCGAAAATATTCTGAACCCATTTTTCGGAATATCGCCAGCTCATTTGTGCCCCTACTACCATGCTGGATCGCAATTCTACCACTGTCACTAAAGCTCCAATAAAAAAATTAAAAAATCATTAGAGCACAGCTGGGTTGTGCTCTAATGCAATATTGACAGCGCAAGACACAATTTAGTCAGTAGTCACCTCCTTTCCACTTGTTTTCTCTCTTGGCATTTCGGGCGTGTCGGGGAGAAAAGCTGTGGCCATCACATTGTGTATAACCATTCAGTGACATCATGGACTTTGCGCGCACAATTCAGACGCAACTAAAATAAATCTCGCGCCGTCACTATTGCTCTAAAAGAAAAAATTTTTAGCATAAAATTAATTTATCGGCACGTGTGTCGTAACCAGACTGTTTTAAAAAAAATTCCGAGGACACCTAAGCACTTCTTGCGAGTTGTGAATGCGAAAGAATGAATGCCGTTCTTCCAGTGATGTGATTGGCCTAAGCCATTTGGAGCACCTTTCGGGGCAGCCAGAACAGCGTTTTGGACCAGCAAATGTGGCATTTGGAGTAACCAAAACAGTGCTCTGGAGCAGCAAAAGTGGCTAATGAAGCACCCAAGACAGTGTTTCAGAGCAGCAGAAGTGGCTTTTGGAGCAGATATTCTTAGAAAAATAAAAACATTTGTTTTGAGTGTGATACAAACGAAAAGCACTTAGTGTTGTGTTGTGGTCTGATGTGGCGTGTTGTGGTGGAACTCGATGCTTGTATTTTTACTGCTGAGACATCCCACAAGTGTACAGTGCTGTAGGCATTGCCGAGCAATTCCAAAAAACCACTTGCCACCGTTTTACTGGTTCCTGACGTGCCAGATTTTCGTCAAAAGTAAGCAAACATAAAATAATGGATTGCAAGCGTCCCTGCTGGTGCCTCCGTCGTGCAATCATGTACGCATGCACGTAAGGGCAACTTCAGCAGGCTTGCAGTTGCACATGCTTCATCTCGCGAGCGGAGACAACGGCTGTTCAATTGAAACCGAAACGATGCCATGCCACTCCGATCCGTCACCAATTGATTCCCAAAATTCTATGCAAAATGTAACTGTCGAGCATACGACAAAAAACAATCCAGCGGCGCGTCCTTGCCAGGCCAGCAAAAAAGGTACAAGCTAAACACACACAAAAAAGAAAAAACCTGAGCGCATCGATGCAAGACATCGCAAGTCAATGTCAAAACGTTCTTGGAACACTCTGTACAACGACTGAACTCGGGGCAAACAAGCGCACTGTGTCGGTTCAGCGTGCAGATATTGCCTCCTTTGCTTTAGCTCACTTCTCTTCACCAATTTTCTTTCACGGCAGATTTTTCATGTACTGGGGTCCCCCTCGAAAGAAAGCCCAACAAGAGAAACCTAGGTAATCTATACTTCGAGACGGCAGTCTGAGTTAGAGAGGGATTTTTGTAGTAACGGATGATTTAAACAAGAACAGGAATGTTGATGAACATGCGGCGGTGCTTAGTTTCATTTTACAAGGCGCCATATATGCTGCGACGTGGGGACGGCAACACCCAACGTCGCGCGACCATGGCGACTAGAAGGCAGTGAGGAAATACAGTTTTCCCATGGTCGTTGCTTTCAGGAGCAGTGCTTCAGCTCACAAAGTAACTCCCGCCACGCAAAAACGTGGTTTCGTTTTACAACATCACGGCATGGCTGGTACCCGGCACGCTAGCATCAAAGCGTCCGCCACACACCCGCGTGTATCGTTGAAAACATTTAGAAAAAAGACGCGAGATGAGACCCACGAGACAACGAGTGCGAAATGCAAGACAGCGGGAACATCGTGCCAGACCGGATGGACAATTGATGCAGGGTACTTGTGTCGGGCGGCCGCTTACGCCACATAACACACGTATGCTCAATTACAGTACTCAGTTTAGTTTCGGTTTTAAAAAGCGACCGAAATAGTTTTTTTATTGGTGCAGGCTTGGCGCAGATTACCCATGTTTTGGTAAAATGTAGCATGATGTAGAAGGGTTAGCCCCTTGGCGCAATGGACCTTTTTCGAGTAACGAGCGCCGTCTGGGGAGTTGTCTGCGGACTACAACAGAAGAGCAGCCCAACATTCCTCCGCCCGTCAAAACACATTGGCATTGTGCGGTTGTATCGGTTTTCAGTGCTTTTTTATACCCCATACTACCAATACTAAAAAACAAAGCGTCAGAATGAACTAAATAAGCGCGAAAATAGAGGCTGACAATGTTGTTGTCACCATTTTCGCAAGGCACCGCGTCCCGGTGTCCTGTGAAAATGGCAACAGCGGGAGCGTAGGCATGCGCAGAAGCTTAATGGAAAAAGGTCCATTGGCGCAGCAATCACCATCACTGTTCTTCCGCTCTCTTAGTTTGTCTGTGGTGTACTGGCGTGGACGGCCATGTTTCGCTTCTGCCGAGGATGCAGCCGGTGGCCGAGCGCGCACCCTCGTGAATTGGCCGCAACCCTCCCACCTTCTCCTTCCTCCCCCCTCCTTACCTCCGGCGACCCTGACATGAGTGGCACCAAAGCGTGCGCTCTCGTGAAGCAGCCGCCGATAGCAATCCAGGAGCCTACTTGCTCAGCCAATGGGAGAATGGGCATTTCCTTCGCGTTTTTTTTAGGTTACAGACGCCGCTAGCTCCGCTCCATGGGATAGGTAATGCTTTCACATTAAAACATTTTTTTTTTTTTCTTCTCACAACTTCAAATTTTTACAGACCACACTATCTCCCTACAAAATATAACGGCTCAATTTAATCTCCAAGTTTGAGGGCGATTTTCTTGGCCTTTCCTTCCTTGTCAAGTGCCGTTGCCTTACAAGGGGGTTCTGATAATCTCCTCTTGAATGCATTTCAGGGAACTTATTATCAATGTCTACAAAAACGGAACTGCATCCTAAATATTGTCATTTTGTCCTGAATTCAATATATAAAAAGTAATTAGCTACAACTGAAGGTAATTATCGTCTTATATCCCTTTCACAACTGTGATTTATTTGTAATAAATATCACTGCTTTATAAACATTCTGTTAACCTTAAAGGGACGCTGACAGGGTAATTATGCTCGCCAAGGTTTTCATTTGTGCATGACATATGAGAGCCCAACTACCCAGAACACAATATGCAACTCGAAATTCGTTTTCTTTCCACCCGAAAACCGATTGAGAACTGGCCATTTTGAGTCGCACTCTCTCTTTTCTGTAGTCATGAGCTGTTTTCTATGGTTTAGACACAACCACCAGATACCGTATTTACTCGCAGAATGAACGCACTTTTTTTTCCGAAAAATCGATGCAAAGTTTGGGGGGGGAAGGGGGGGGGGGAAGGGGGCATTCATTACGCGAAGTAAAATTTTTGCGTCCGTATTTACTCGCATAATGAACTAATGAACGGTCCTTTTATCCTGAAAAATCGAAGTAACTTCTTATCTCTTTGCGCGCCGCGCCCGCCCCACCCCATAACCAAACTAAGCTGTTAAAAAAAAAAAAAAAAAACTGCATTTTTTTTTTCTTAATTTCTTGTTTGTTTTTTTTGTTTGTTTTTTTTTTGCCACTTTTTGCAAGCTGTTTTGTTTGCTTAGGCGAGGGCTCTCCACTTCTTTCTTATCTCCTTGCGCACGGGGAGCGACCCCCTTAACCAAACTGCGCTGTGCAAAAAAAGAAAAAAAAAGCTCCTTTTTGTTTTTGTTTTCTCTTAATTCCGTGTTTTTTTTTTGTTTTTTTTTTGCCACCTTTTGCAAGCTGTTTGGTTCGCTTAGAGGGTTTCTCTTTCTTACCTCCTTGGGCGCGGCGGTGCGCGAACCCAAAGTCCAGACTGCGCTGCGCAAAAAAAAAAAAAAAAAAGCTCCTCTCCATGTTCGTTTTTTCTCGCTTCTGTTGGATCTTTGCGAATTTTTTAACGCCTTCTGCAAGGCGTTTTGTTCGCCCACGCTGCCCATGCATTCGCAACCTCGCTGCACCAGGATAAAAAAGTGCGTTCATTTCGCGCGCGTGGGGGAGGGGGTCAAAATTTTGACGTCCGAGTTAGGGGTGCGTTTATTACGCGAGTGAAAAAAAAAAAAAAAAAATAGAAATTTTGAGAGCCGACTTGGGGGGTGCGGTGCGTTCATTGTGCGAGTAAATACGGTACTCAGAGTCGGGGGTCATCGAAGGCACAAATTCAATATTAAAAATAGACTGAAAATAAGACACCCATTTTTTGTAGCTTCTAAAATGTTGCAAATACATTGATTGAAAAAAAAAAAAAAAAAAAAGCTGCACAGCCACGTGACTTCTGGTAACTTTCTCTTGCTCTATACTTCTTCCTCCCCAGTTAGTTTTGAGCAGTCTCTCTTAAGCTCAACTCTTAACCATTATTTCGTTTTTAGACTTGATTAAACATTAATGTGACGCTGTAGCAAAATATTGATTGGGTAGTCTTCCGACACCATAATGAATCACCTGGCAAAAAATAAAAAATAAACATTTTTGGAGGGTGTCAGTGTCCCTTTAAAATGTCTGGTGGACCCTAAGAAATCAATATATGTATTAGAAGAAAATTTTAGTGAGAAGTTACCCTAATGATCGCTAAGGAATTAACTAATTAAGATTATATATTCTGCAATATATATTGATAATTTAAATCTGATTGCAGATTCAAAATCAGCATTAAGAGATACATCTGCAAACTGTATTTTAGTGAGCCAAGTTAATTCATGAAAAAAATATTTAAGAACCCTCACCCCCAAGTTGTTTAAGGGGTAGGGAAATGAAATTCCAGCGCTCATTTTCTAGCTTGAATGTGTTGCATGTTGCACCCTACCATCAAAAACACCAGTCTTCCATTGAAAGGCACAAGAAAACTAATTTTAAAGCTAAATAAACAATCTTTCAATGTGCACCTGGTGGATGCATGCGGAGCCTATTTGGGAGGTGGTCTAGCAACGTTGTGGAATCCTTCGGAGCAGCGCCGCTCTTTGGCATTTCAACATTTTCCCTCTTCGCTTTCCTCCTCAACTCACAAGTCGCGCATTGTACCAAACGGTCCAAGAGGACGGAAAGGAAGGACTCCCCTCTTTTTCGGACCCGCGTTCGTGCAACCGAACACAGCCACTCTCTCCCTAGAAGATTAGCCTGTCGCTCAAAACTCGAACAAAAGTTGCTTTCCCCACCCCGTTCATCCCTAAGCTGACAGTGTTGTGGAAGCTACGTGCTCCTTGGGCCAGCCACATGCTCGTCACCCCACGGGTGTTTCGAACGGCTCGGTTGTAATGCGCTGACGCTATTGACACTACCACAACGCTGACAACGCCACCAAGGGCAAAGCTCATAACCACGCCTGCCTTGCTACTCCACGAACGCAGGGAATCTTTTCTTTCTGTTTTTCTTTGCGCCGGACATCCCATGACGCATCGCGCTCTCCGTTCGCTTCTCTTCGAGCACTTGCTCGAATGCACAGTTTGGAACAAAAAATATAGCCAGTTGTTCAAAATACAAACGTGCCATTATCATTTACGGTTATTATCCATCATGCTCGACTCATTTCCAAACGAAATTTGAATATTTCAATTTTTGTTTCCACACCCCTTTAACATTTCTGCTCCCAAAAATGAAGACTAGAGCAACCACATAACCAAGCTTTCCACAAATTGCTTTAAGTAATTACTCTGAACTGTGATATCACGACAAACAGGCCAGGAGAAGCGGTGCAGAAGCCAGTTTAAGAGCACCTAGGCGGTCATGGCAAAACAACACACCTGGCCAGGTCCCAGCTGGTCACTGCACCGGCTTGCCAGGTCCACCATACAGGGCTCCTCAATCTCTGGATGAAGGTCGATGGAGACCGCCCGCTGGCGCATCACTCGCCGGATCTCGTAAAGGCACGGCTTCGACAACTGAGCGCACAAAGGAAGAAAACGTGTGCCAAGATCATTAATCCCTTGCCTATCATTTTTTTTCTTTGAGGAACGTAAAGCAAAATTTTATTTTACTAAACAGGCAATTTGCATTAAAATAAGACAAAATATTTCCTCGACTTCCAGGTGTCATATCTTGCTCTAAATCAGGACTTCTGGTCAGAGTCCCACTGTGGTGCAGATGCCGAAGTTGACAGAATGCTTTCAGGATTCACACTGATTTTATCACTCCCACCAAACTATCGTCCAATTCCTAAAAATCAAAAAGGCCGAAGAATTTGTCATTACATATGCCTGAGCATTACATTTAAAACAAAAAGTTTTCTATCTCTTTGTCAGCTAAAGTGGACCTCCGCACCAAAGCCATGTTGTTTTAGCATGAACGCTCACAAGTGGCTGCTTTTTTTGTTCTTGGCTAAATGAAGCATTCTCTCCCTGTCAAACAGCAAAGCAAATGAGCAAACTTCCCAAGGTAAATAAAGCAACAGGGGTGGTTTTGCCATCTGCCAGAGAGAGCGCTAGACAAGTGCCGAAACCGAAACACGAGTCGCGCTCGTGGTCTGTCTTTATGGTCTGTAAGGGGTGGCATGAGTGACACTTGTTATTGCTAGGCAAGGGGTTAAGTAGCACCATATCTGAGTGATGTGTATGCAGTTATTGTTAACGGAAACGAAGCTCCCAGACTTCCAGTGCAGCAATTACCCCTCCCCTGCTCACTTCTCACATCGTGTATTCTTTCCTCTGTCCTCCTTTTGACGACTTTGAAGCTTCACAAGCTCAAAAGGTATGCACATTAAAGTGGTACTCGATGTTAGAAAAAGGTGTTCGCTCAGAAAATAAGCACCAATTCTGTTTCTTTGGCATTCGTTGAACTTGAGTTATGTTGACAAAAATGGTTTATTTTTTACAACGTATATTAAAACAAAAACCGCAAAAAATGGTTCTATGCAGCACTGACCTTGACAGTGATATAAAAAAATAGACACACAACTTTAGCAATGCAAAAATTGTCACAAAGAAGCAGTTTTTAGCTCTGCCCCAACTATGACAAAAGTAATGGCTATGACCTGACGTTCAGCTGAAATTTGGTTCAACACCTTGGTTATAATTTTCTTTCATAATAAAAATTCTCATTAGCCAATAAAAAGTTATATTCCTGACCTTCTGTGGCTCTTTATAAAGGGACCCTAAAACAATACTGACCGAATTTTACGAGCCTCTCATAAGTGGGACTAAAGGGATTTAAGTGTTCACCTGATTGTGGATCACCACTCTACACAATTCAAAACAATAAATGGAACCGTCAGGAAAAAGATTGCTGGAAGTCTTAAAATTCAAATGCTCTATGCTTGCCACAACCTTTGAAAGCATTCCTGCAGCTTTACGTTCCACTTACGGGCAATGCACAGTCAGGCAGTCAATAATTTGCGTGCCTGCGACATGTATGCTCGTCGCCAATCTGCTCGTCTGCCAGCTTGACGATAAGCGTGCCCAGCACAACCTGTGCTCAGCACACCTGCACAGCCACGAAAGCCCCCAAACGTACCCGGACGCTCTTGTCAGGGTGGTAGGCATAGCGGTAGAGGCAAGGCAAGACAATGGGCCCCCGCTCGGGGTCCATCCTGCTCGGGTCGTCGTGCCACTCCTTCTTGGCCTTGCAGTATGTAGAGGCCTCAGTCTTACACTCCTTGTACAGCACAGGGTCTAGCCTGAAGAGAGAGCAAGCCCCGTTCAAACCTCTTTCGTGATACGGGTGCGGAAAAAATGAAAAGTCAGATGCCTGCCAGGCTGTAAAGGGGAGAAAGGTATGCAGAAGAACAGCACAGAAACACCCAAGACTTACTTGAAGTCTCGAGCCACAAAGTACTGAATTTGAAGCAGGGCCTCCCGGCAGTTGTCACTCATGTGGTAGCTGCTCACGTGGTCCATGAGGCAAGACATGACTCTGCGAGACCAAGTGCAATGTACAACCCGACCGCGCCCCGGTTGTGCCAAGGCTGGACCTAAACCAACCTGCCGTGGCCAGGCTTGACATCCTTGCAATGAACATCGACGACGGGCTGGCAGGCTTCCTGAAGCACGGGGTCCACCCGCCAGTCTTCCCCAGCACCGGTCAACTTGACAACCTCTTCCAGCTTCAAGAACGGAAGCAACGACCCGCGGTTAAACAGATCTCACTTCTGCATATGGTGATCTCATGGGACAAGGTCAAAGACGCAGTGCACCAAAATGTATGTGAAGCACCTAGCCTCCCAAAATGACAAACAGCATTTGTACAACTGCCTTCTAACAAAGGCAATGCAATGGTACTTTGAGACACCAAGGCACAGTGCAGGTACCTCTACAGCAAATAACTCGCATAAATCAAGCCGCAACTTATCGCAAACACTGACCACAAGGTCACTCCTCATGTATCTTGAATTTCACATTAGCTCGGTGATTTATTACTCATTTGGTTCTCACGGGTACAGATTCTAATTCAGAGTGCATCATATTCAGATTTTTAATAAGGCTTTGCAAGCAATTGAAATAAAAAAATGAGACTCGCTGAACGCTCACACTTGCCTTTTTGTCAATTGCCTAGTGTCTCGTGAAAACCAACCACTGACATATGTCAATAAGAAAACACTAATGTAGATTTGTGAGAATGCAAAACCAGGGTTGTCCTCGCACACCATTTTCCAAACGGACACACCACCGCTCCCTTTTACCGTGTGGCTACCGACAGCTACATTAAGCACACCGGTCGCAGGCAACCAAAACAGAAAAAAAAGGATTTCAAAGCAGGAGACCTTGCGGCGGCACTGGTCGGAGACGCGCTTGGCACCTGGCACAGTTGGCCTCGAGTTGCGCATCAGGCAGTGCAGAGTGCGGCCGTTCTGCTCCAACCGGGGACGACAGAAGTGTCCAATATCTGCTTCGCAGGCTGCAGCCAGGTCCGGCGTCAGCTGGTAGTTCTCCATGAGAAACCGCCGGTGCTCCAGGATCTCCCGATGACATTCTGGCACCACAGGGTAGTCTGCACCCGCAGGCAAACAGGACTCGAACTTCCAACTTCTTTGGCTTTGTGCGTATTCGGTATAATGTACACCAATATGTATGAAGGGTGTTAACAGGTGTTTCTATAAAGAAGACGGCAGTTACACAGTTATACTATCTATTTATTGGGCTCGGCGGACATTAGATGAGGGAAGAACAGTCACGTTAAGTCGGTTACTTCACTGAAATCGGTTAACTTTTTTAATTAATTACCGCATTTATTCAAATATAAGTCTACCTTTTTTTTTTTTTTTTTCAGAAATGTCAAAAATTAAGGGTCGACCTAGAATCGTGATCAAAGAATTTCAACCTACATTCGCAACCAAATTTTGCGACCCTACTGGGGGCATTGACCCTTCAACCACCTGGCCCGAGCTGTACTCGTCATGGAAGGTTGTACCAATATCGCCGATGACGGGTAACACTTGTCCAGCCAAAATGAGGGTTTGTTTTCACTGCCAAACCCGAGACAGGTTCGTTCATCCATCCATCCATCGCGTATCTAGCCTTGTAACAGTGATCAGAAATGGCAGCACGCTTGAGTGATGCCGGTGACGGCCCTCGGAAACGGGCTCTCTCTTGCGGCAGTTTGAACAGTAGCGACGATGAAGACATCGAATCTGTCTCTGGAAGTGAGTCGGACATGGATTTTGAATACGAAACTGACTTAGACAACAATTACAGTGACGAAGAAGACGACGCGCTGGCTAGTGTTCAAATGTGGCAACGCGTAAACCGCGTAAACACTGAAAACCCGCCACCCGCGCCTCTGAGATTTCCCATTTTGTGCAGTGCCTGGGATTCTGCGGCAACCCACTGACGAAAAAGACATTCTCGGCTGGTTCAAGGTTGTTTTTCTCTTATTGGTACCTTGTCGACCTCATTGTGACAGGGGCAAACTGCTACGCGGTCCCGCATTCCGCAGCGCGGGGCTCTTCATGGAAACCGGTGGACCGCGAAGAGATGATAGTGTTCCTTGCGCTAATAATTTTGCAAGGAATCGTTGGCAAACCGCAAGTTGAGATGTATTTGTTAGCGCTAGTACGGAGAAACGTCTAGGCACTTTATCTTTTGTTACGGTGCGTATGTTCAGATAAATACTGCACATTTCAGCACGTGTTATTCTATTACTCTTACATGCACTGAGGGAAAGCTTCCATAAAAATCAACTTTTTCTTTTAAAAGTTTAGTTAATACCAATCAGAAACCAATCAAGTAATGTATTTGCAATATCAGAATGACGAAAGAAAGAATATGTGGAGATAAAATTTGGTAAAGTTTGTACATTTTTTTCGAAAATAACTTTATCGAGTCACCCAGCCGGCGTTGCCGTAGTACCGCGCCGCTTCTTGTTTCAAAAAGCTTTTGGTGCACAAAAACAACCGAAACAGCACCAACTGACGGCCCGCCCGCGGGGCTCTCGCGCACATCCCTCAAACATTGGGTTTCGCCATGGCGCCTGTAGCATTCCCCTTGCTCAGCAAGGGGGAAGGGGAGGGAGAGGAACACGATGCGCCATGCACCTTTCCCTCCATCCCTCTCCCTCGCAAACGTGCACACGAAAAAACGGAGGTTACTTTTGTTTGTTGTTTGCGGCGGCTCGCGTGTTGCTCACAGCGGCTCGCGGCGTTGCCAACACTACTGGCGTCTTTGTATTTGGTCTTTCATCACTTTGCTTGTCTCCACATTCTTTCGTTTCTTTTTGCCGCCATTTTACAACAGTGTCAGTGAGATATTGTTGCGAATTTGCAAGGATGTCTGCCAAGCTGACGAAGCTTCGGATGACGATGACATGTCCAAAAGTTCTGACGATTAAGTTTTCCGCATCGCCCTGTGATTTAGCCGATAGCTGTAATTAAAGGTTTGTTTGTTTCTTTTGCCCAAACTTTCCCCTGTTCCTAAAAGAAAAGAAAAAAGGTTGACTTATATTCAATTTGTTTTGTTTTTTATTCTTGGTGGGTTCACTAATGGGGGTCAACCTATTTTCGAGTAAATACGGTATCTCGTGGGTCATGTTGCAATTACAGAATTGACGGCAATTACTTTCGGAGGCTCAAACAATTTAAACAATTTGCAAAAAGATAATAATTTTTTAAATCTTCGCTGTTCAGTTTTCGCAATTTTTTTTTTGCCCGATTTTAATATTGCACTCAAAGAGTACCGTGAGCCCTGCCCACAATGACGCTTACAATAGTGGCGCAGTCCTTTCAATCCCATCGTCAGTATCTAGGCAGAGCGACCTTGATGGAAGCGCCGACGACACACTGCCGAGATAGTGACGACGTGACTGAAACGACTACATACGTCCCCTTTTAAGCGTCACTGTGGGCAGGGTACGGCACTCTGCACCCAATATTGAAATCGAGCGAAAGGTGTCCGATGACAGCCACATGTCGGGAAAAAAATGTTTTTTTTCCTTTGCGATAATGCAGTGAAATCGCAGTATTTTGGGAGAAAGTGGCACATTTTCTCTCACTTGTGCCAAGATAAAACAATATTAAAAATTAATATTTTAATTTTCTACCAGTAGTTTTCAATAATACGCTATTGAATGTTCACTTCAAGATAAGCTTCAGCATTCATATTTTTCCAAGTGTTGATCGCAGAGGGTTAGCCACGTTGAGCATGCCTCCTACCGAGCACTGGTGCACTGCGGAGAAGTAACACTCGCAGAGTTTGCTTCGACGGGTGCCACTTCTCTGCAGTGCACCGCTGCTCGGCAAGAAGCGCTCTCCACAGTTAGTGCACACGTACCTGTATTTAAAAAGAAACGGAAACTTCGTTAATGTTGATATCAACACTCCACTCCACTTTTTATATTAAACTGTTGATATCAACACTACACTACACTTTTTACATTAAACTGCAGCTATAATGCAAGAGTATATGTTGGGCAGAGATGCCTTGACAACACTCATCCATCATTCACGATTGTCCTTTTTTTCGTTTCTCAAGGCAGATTTATAAATCCCCTTGATGAGGTAATTAGGTGTAGCTAAGCATCTATATGCATGGCTTGTATGGGATGTCACCACGCCATGCTGGTGGTCCATAGCGCGTGTTCTTGCCAAGAAAAACAATTTCTGTGCTGTGAAATGTACACTACAAACAGTATGCACTTGGCAGCGAGGCCACCACAATGGCAGCTGATGTGATGTCAGTGCAAGCAATGTGCAGGCTTAATTTTATGTTAAGTGCATCATTTACTTGCCTTCCCAATGTAGCAATGGACTTTCTGATGCCAGTCCATAAATCTAAATAGATAAAAATTAATTTGGCTTAGAAATGGAAACTTGGGAACAAACTTCATAAGTTCAGCTGTACAGTCAAGCCTGGAAATATCACACTATAGTATTTCGAATTATTGTTTATATCAAACAGTCCAAACATCCCCTTGAAAATTGGATGTAATAGTATTCACGACTCCAGCAAAACGGACGGCACCAAGCGGGAAAACCGGGAACCAGCTGGAACAGGTCGCTTTGCGCCTCTCCGCATCTCTGGCGGCTTTTGCGGACACATGTTGTCGGCGCGGTGGCGAACAATGTAATTTGACGAAGGTCCGAATATTTCTCAAGTTTGCCCAAGTGTTCATTAGTGTGGTAAAGCCTCAGTAGATTGATTCCCTCCATCATGTGTTTGAACGCCTGTTTAATCTACAACACACAGTTGCGTGCTTTCAATTTTTTTTTGTATGGGGAGGAATCACGGAAAAACGTTACGATTTCTTGCCTGTCTCAATCACATACAAAGTGACGACTACTTGGTAACTGATAGGTGGTTTCTTTATAGGGATGCAGAACAGTGGACGGAGGGCAACAGACGAGGTGTTTCGCCGAAGGGAACACCAATGTTGCAGTCAAGGGAATGGGAAGGTTCGACAGCTGCCTTTCTTGAGTTTGATTGTGTTCCATTAACTTGAAGATTGAGCCACCCACGCCGGTCCGTGTGTTGGCTATTCACCTTAGCTGCTTTTTGCCGAAAAAGCCTCTGGACCACACTGAAAGAGTTGGGCTGATTTTGCAATTACTTGACCTCGGAAAACCTGCTCGTTGCATACGATTAATGAGGGAAATTGTCTGGTTTCAAAAGATGGGGGGACGCGTCTCGCAAAGTTAGAAGCTGTCACGACATTATGATTTATTGCACCTCCAATATTTATACGATGCCCCAGTCGAAGCCAGCAGCAATATACGTCTACATTGGTCAGGCTGTACGGCCACAAAAAAAATAGTCAATTTCTTCCTTCAGGATTCTAAGTCAAGTTTGATGCAGACGGGGTCTGCGTGACTCTCCGACGAAGACTCTCCAGTTTGTCCGCATTCGTCTCCGTGCTGCGGGCTAGAACCATTTGGCTGAGTTTAAGTAGTATTTCTCTGTTTGTCAAATACACTTTTATTCAGTTCACCTAAAAGCTAGTCAACTAAGCTCATATTTCAAGCCAAAGAATATACTAATACCGCTTTAGTGGGACATAGTACATAATATTATACATAACCCACATATTCGTCAAAATGACTTCTCGATTACTACCAATACCTGAATTGAAATATGAGTATGAGCCACTTAGTGGGGGGCCAGCGAGTTAACATGCTCCTCAGTTCAACAAGCGCTTGCTTAATTTTTGTAATTTTCCTGCAGCCTGTGTTGTTGACCGAGCAGGCGACTGGGGCTCGATTTGGCGGACAGGCAAGTCGCATGACAGAGGCATCCGAGTTAGCTGGAAATTACTCTCAATGGAACAATTCAGTAGCCATCGCTGCTTTCCTTAGCTGATTAAAACTGATTAGAGTCTATTACTATCTCTCCGGAGCCCATAGTTCCGGTTTTGAACGAAATCTCCGAAACAAAATTTTGACATGAAAAGAACACAAAGCACCGGGAAAACAAAACTAAGCTTTGCAAGTTTATGTACACCGGCTACACTTAACAGTCAAAGTTCAAATATCTATAAAATAGGGCATTTAACAAAAAAAACTGTTAAATTGAATGCGCCACCCATTCTGCCGGCCCAGCCGACACGACGCAACGCGACCTGTTCCCAGCCACTATGTTCGTTTGGTGGCGGTGCCCCCTATAGGTCGTCGCGAATAAGAGCGCTGTCTTTCTGTATCGAACTCCCATGGGAGGGACATTCAGTATAGCAAACGAAGCCCAACTGCCCGTTGCTTCTCCCACAATCTGATTGCGCCGGTGGCGAGCCCATTGCTTGCGTTGCAGGGCCAGCAGACCGCCAAGCCAGCATACACGCCGTGAGAGCGGTAAGATACGCAGTGAAAGAGCAGTTGTGAAAAAAGAGAGACAATGAACCAGAAAAAAAAAGTGGAGGATAGAAAAAGCAAGGGGAAGGGCACGCGCACGTAGGGAGAGCAAGGAGTGCTCACTGTCAGAACGGTAGCCTGCACCCTTTCCCCAAACACTGCCAATGATGCTGCGTGACTCCCTAGCCCCAAAATAAAATGAGCAGAAAGAAAAAAATCTTCGGGACAACGGTTGTGCGGCGGTGTCTGCCGTCTCCACTAACTATGCTCTGCTGTATTTAGCAGCTCTTGGATGCTCCATTTGGTATGCTCCCCTTCGTCGTGACCTTTGGTATTAGCAGAGACGCCAGGAAATTTCAACTCTAGCTTAATTTAACATACTCTTGTATATCAAATTATTGATATATGAACTATTTTGTGATCACCTTTGAATTCGAACTATCCAGGTTAGACTGCATTTTTATTTAGGCATGGTGCAGTAGGGAAAGACTAAGAAACTACTCTATCTATTTGAAAATATTCGGCCAAATCCACTATTTGCTTCGAATTTGATTCAAACTCAAAATCTGCTCTTCACACATGCTTAAAGGGGTATTCCAGCGACTTCTTCATGGACACTGATTTGCCTGAAAATTTGCTAACACACCAACAAACATCGCTGAAATAGTATCCCAAATATCAGGCCAAAATATATGTCTTTTGCAAAGTTACTGAATTTACAATTTTGGTCCTTACCGTGTTTTTCAAACTGACAGTCTCTACTGGCAACAACGAAAAAGTGACGCTAGTGGAAGGCATGGGTTCACTTTGGACTGCAGCTTTTGCTCCCAACTGACCAGTGTTAAATGAATGCTTTGGAAGCTCGCTACAGTACCCGCACACCAGCACGAAGCAAATGCTTGGCATAGACTATTTTTTAGACTGCTTGCTCACTGGCAGGCCTGCCTTCCAATGACGTCACGGCACTGAAAAGTGCGGGTATATTTGAATGTTGGTTTTTGCAACATTTTTGAATGCTGATTTCACAATAAATGTTATGAATTTCTCGACACTGATCAGCATGCCGGAAAGAGCAAACGTCGAGGATTCAGAAAAGTAGCTCAAAAAATCGCCGGAGTATCCCTTTAAAGGGACACTGACAGGATATTTATGCTCGCCAAGGTCTTTATTTGTACATGACATATGAGAGCCCAACTACCCACACACAATTTGCCGATCTAAATTTGTTTTCTGCCCCCCCGAAAACCGCCGATCAAGAACTGGCCGGTTTGAGTCGCGTTCACTCTGTTCTCTGTGGTCACGTGCCGTTTTCTAGGGTTTAAGCACAATAATCAAAGTCATGGGTCATCAAAGGCACACACTAAACTTAAAAAAAAAAAAAAAAAAAAGACATATTTTTTGGCACTTTTAAAAAACTGCAAATACGATGATTGAAAAAGAAAACAGTTGCACAACACGTGACTTCCGTTAAGTTTCTCCTCCTCTACATTTCTTCTTCCTCCCCAGTCACGTTTTGGTTTCGAGCAGTTGCGTTTTTTCACTTAAAAATATATGTGACGCTGTAGCAAAATATTGATTGGGTAATCTTCCTACACCCATAATGGATCACCCGGCAAAAAATAAATAAAGATTTTGAAAGGGTGTCAGCGTGAACTTTTTTTTGTATCAAATTGTGCAATCTCATACTGAAAGACTGCCCACGCCATATTTTTCCCCCATTTACCGCCTCACCACGGGTGGGCATTCCTTTTCGATTTTACGGTACTGTTATCGCACACTAGAGCAACTGCACAACAGCATGGTGCAACAGTGTATTTCAGCTCCTACCATTGTGAATGGCGTTCTCGAGGCAGAGGAGAATCTGGGCAAGGCGGAACTCCCGCCGCTCCGAAGTCTTGTCCCGGCAGTGGTACATGCGGATGTCCTTGAAGCAGGCTGTTGACAGGCCCTGGTTCACCCGGTAGTCCTGCAGCATCAGCTGCTCACGCTGCACCAGCTTCTCCCGGCACTGCAGCCCCAATCGCAAGTGTCACCATCACCACCCAGTAAAACTTGACACAAGACTACTGAGTAAATCCTGTTAAAGCCAAATGCAGACATACTAAAACAGTGGTACCGTGAGATTTTGTGCCCCAGTTCTATTCCCTCTAAAGGACGATTGCTCCAGGTGCCGCAATTCGGAAGGTTGCAATTCTGCAACATGTACAAGGCTTCAAATTCACTTAGACGGTCCGCAAAAATCAGTCCGAAGCATTTTGCAGACGGGGCGCACCGTCTGCGAATGCTGTTGCAGGTTGCCCAAAACTGGTCATTCTTTTTTTTCTCTTTTGAACAAGGTAACTCACGACGCGAATAAGTTGAGCCAGTTGGTTAAACTTAAAGGGGCACTGACACCCCAAAGTTACGTGTTTTTTTTTGTCTAAAACGAAGCAAGTTGTAGTCATAAAAACGCAAAACAAATACCGCAACGCAAAAAAAAAAAATTTACCACGCATGCTCCTTTTTATTTTTGGCACTTTTCTCTCTTACTTCTCACCTCCCCGCTTCCTTACTTTTTTTGATTTGTGACCTCAAATATCATGAAATTTAGAAGCTTTGTAGGCGACATTTCTAAAACATTTAATAACGGTAATCGTAAAACATGTTTTTTAACGCAACTGCAAATGCACTACGGCCCTTCTTTTTGAAATACCTAATATCAGTCAGGTGTGATGTCGCCTCCTGGATTTTTATCCTCCCTCAGAAAACATGGCGGCACTCGACGCATGTACCAGAGGATGATCGGCGAGTCAGGGAATCGGACGAAGCGGTCTTTTTTAGGTGCTCGAAGACCTCAGACTTCGAAAACGAAATCGTCAAAACAACTGGGTTTGGTGTATGTATCGTAGTTTTGTTTCCGACTCCGCCGGGGCAGCCTTTCACGCAGAACCGGCAAGACGTCAAGCGTCGTCTGCTCACGGCGACAGGCGGCACGGCACGCACGGAGGAAACCATTTATTCCCAGTACGCCAGCGCCCTTCTCTCCCACTCCTCACCTCCTCGCTTCAAGTCGCGGCAGCAATGGCAGTTTGGAACGGAAGCACAAAAGAAACTCAACTCGCAGGACAGCTCAATATTTGCAGTCACTGCAATGGCGCAGATTGCACGGGAACTTTCTACTTCACAAATACTGAATTCCCAAGTTTCGAATTTTGAGGGTAATGTTCAGGCATTGTTTTCAATCATTTCGGATAATTTAAAAAAAATATTGTCGCGGTAGTGCCCCTTTAACCCATTTACTTCCAAAGCCGGCGATGCGCCGGCCGCTTCCGCCAAGGCCAAAGTGTGAGAAGCCGGCGATCGCAGTCCTCTGGAAAACGCATTGTTTTTAAAAAGCCCCGTAAATGGCGCTTCCCTGTACACTGGGTTCAGGTTGTTTCGTCTTTTTCACAGCAGATGAAAAATAGTTGTCCACTGTTTTTGAGCTTTAGTTGTTTAGAAAAAAAATACGAAGTTTGCAGCTTTGTTTTCTCTGTCGATTCGTTCGCTACTTCTGAAACATGGCGTCGTGAAAGAAAAAAACGCTCACATGTGAGGAAATCCTCGAGCTGGTGTTCGAAAGCAATAATGAAAGTGATTGTGGCGACGATCCAGAAGCTATATTGGACCAAAAAAGTAGCGACGATGAGAGTGATGGTGAGAGCGGTAGTGATTGTGAAGGCGATCTGTGTGGCACTTCACATGCCCGTCTGCTTCAAGACCTTCCACACCCGCAAGGTACTTCGAGTGCATTGCTTCCGGAAGACATTCCTGAACAAAATAAAGTAAGAAGTGTTCACCTGCGAGTTATATAGCAGAAGTTATAGAGCCTTCTTTACACGCCACACACAGCAGTCCGCGTGGGGGAAAGGTGCACGGTACAGCTCGCGGGAATGGGCGTCGATGCTGCGGAAGCGAAAGGGTTAAAGGGGCCCTGCAATGACTATTACACTGGTTTTCAATGTGCACCGAACCTGAGTGCACAGAACGTAGGAACTTAATAAAACTGTTCTCGAATTTCACCTTATTTTAAAAGTTATAGGCGAATTAAAATTACAAAAACAAGCGAAAAATAACTTCATGACGTCTCTAATCCTGGCTTGGGTGGCTGTGAACTAGAGAAGGGGCAGTGAGCTCAGCGAGTGCTCACGGCTGCCGCACTCCATGTCGATGGCTCGAGAGGGCACCACTAAAGCATGTGCTGACCCCGCTAAAGCAGTCAACCGACTGGCCCCGCTAAAGCCGTCAACCGATCGGCGCTGCCGAGTGCTACAAAACATTCATGTGTGCCGCACGAAGCCTCTCGTCCAGCACTCCGACCATGGCGCCACTTCATCCCCATCAACATTATCATTACCATCCACAACAGCGCACCGCCTGCACAGGCGATGCGTGGCTCATGCTAGAGCTCGCGGGGCAGAACTGCTCCAAGGCTCAGCCAGTAAAGCCAGAGCTTTTTATCTCTACTTTGTCTTTCTTATAAAATAAAACATTTATTATTATTATTATTATTATTATATATTCGTGGTGCTTTTATGACGCTTGTAAACCCACCCCCTCGTAAAATACCTGACAGCGATGCAAACAAAGATTCTCTTGCTTAGGTCGTGCCTGGTTCACCTGCAGCCAACCTGAAAAACCTGACAGGAGCAAGGCACCTAGCCACACATTGTCAAAAATGCAAGTACAAGGCCAACTTAAGGAATGTTAGCATACTAGGACACCACAGAAACCAGCTTGCATGCGATATGCTGGAGGCCCTTTCCATACAAAATGAGGACCAATCGGTTAGTTCCCCTTCAGTTACCTTGCACAACAAGGAGAAAATGCTCCGGCAGGGAACCAATTCTCTTCTTGATTAGAAATATGAGGAGGAGGAAGTAATAGGAATATTAGATGCCATTGATCGCTCAAGCATAAAAGAAAGAGGAAGAAACAAAACCAGTTGAAGACAAAGAGGTTTTTCATTAAAACAGTTGGTAGCCCCAGCGGCAGTCTGTCCTTTCCTCATCTCCTTTATCCTTCCTCTTTATGTACAGCTAGTACCACCCAACATGAACAAGTTAAGTTCATCCGTTGATATTTTAACTTCAAACTTCAACCACCTAGCTGCATCTTTGTCATAAATTGCAGCACATTACACAGAAATCAATTTTTGCGGACCATTTAAAGCAGGTTTTAAGCATTACTGTACATGCTATATTCATACTGGACGCTTTCCCAAACGTTGACCGAACGTTTCCTACAAAAACTATACATAGCATAGAAAATGTATCGATGTCACATTAGTCACCGCCAAGGGGCCTATTAGGCGGGCACAGAGAGTTTTGAATAATTCAGGGGGGATCGGTGGCCGAGTGGGCTGAAGCGCACACCCAGCTCGACGCGCGTGGAGCGAAAGCTCGCGCTGCAGAACCCAGGGATCCTGGGTTCGAGCCCCCCACCCCTGCCCGTTTCGATCTGGATGAGCATCGTACCGGCGTGCGGTCGTGTATCACTACTGCGTGGTGCACGTTAAAGACCCCAGGCTAGCGGTTGTACTGCACTGGCTAAATTGCTCATCTACAGCGTGTGACTCGTCGCAACTTTAAATGGCAGACCAACTACACGCTGTATAAATATCCCCACAACCCCAATTATTATTATTGAATAATTCAGTCCCTTAACTAGTTTAACATAAATAACCTTCCGATTAGTAAAAATAAATGTACCGTAATATCCCGAGTCATCGCCCACCCCCCAACCGCCTGAAATTCTTTAAAAAAGTGGGGTGGGCCATGTCTCGGTGGGTGAGCACAAACACTTGAAAAAAAGCGGAAAAAACCGCCTATTTTTCTCTGCGTATCTAGCGCTGATGCACAAGAAATACAACAAACTCAAAACTCGATTTAGTTTCATTGTTTTATAGAAAAAAATGCTCACGAAAGAATATTTTACTATAGCAAAGTCCGATGCTTGCATACGCGCTAGAAACAACGCCGATCTGCATATAGCACGAACGTTTGTTCCGTGAAAGAATGTGGCCATTATGTTCTCCTAGTTAGTTAAAAAAGAAAGAAAAGTCTACAAGAAAATAGAAAAACCGACCAGGCGCAACGAGCGAGCGAGCGAGCGAGCGGACCAAAGAAGCGACCAAGAGCAATGCTGGGAAAGCGGGAAAGCCGGCGGTCGCGTTGGCAAATACTTTGGCGTCGGGCCAAGTCGGGCGCCTTGTCAATTGCAAGCTCTTGCGCAACTTTCTTGTTTGGTGCGTACATACGTGCGTCCGTGCACGGCGGGCTACCAATGCACGGTTGGGACGCTCTGCAAACGTCTGTGTAGGACGTTCCAGCAAAGCTTTATTTACGCTTTGGCTTAGCCTAAAATATTGCACAACCGCGGTCGCGACGGGCGGGAAGAAGGAGCGGGTTCGCAATGACCTTACTTCCGCGGAGACAGACTTTGACCTAACACTCCGCGGTTACGTTAACAAACTCTTATTTTGTTATCTCCATCGTTTTCTTTTCGCACGGATACACGACCACTTTGAGGTCGCTCACGGAGGAAATGCGTAAACAAAAAAAAGTGTCTTTCCCTCCTTCGTTTTACTTTGTCACGGACGTCCTCCAACTGTAAGGTCCGCGGCCGCGTCATTCGGGTAGGATGAGTGTTCGCGGATCGCAGAGTCCGCGCTGGGGTATTTGAAGGGGTGGGCGATGACTCGGTTTTTTTTCGGAAATCGATATTGGCCCAAAAAATGGGGTGGGCGATGGCTCGGGGATGGGCGATGACTCGGGATATTACGGTAGTATTACATGTTTTCAATTAGAAACTTGCTGGGCATCATCAAAAACCAAAAATCAGTAAAGGTTAGGAAGACATTAAGTATGAGGGAAGCATGGTGGAAGGCCCAAGTTATTGTATTTTCCGGAATATAATCCACGGACTATAGATGTTTAAAAGTTGAAATTTTACACGCACAGACTACCTACAGGTGCGAACTATACTTAGCTTGCACGTGATGTCATTCATGGCCATGCCGGTATTTTATGTGCCTACCACAAGTGGTCAGTTCACTGTGCTAGTTTCACACTGCAGACGCCATAGTTCGAAGGAACCAGTACATAGAAATAACCGGCAGTGCCCAGCAATAGTGACACTTGCAAGCCATGTATAGAAAGACAATCTTTTTTTTTTAAGGTTGTTGATTATGATGCAACAGATTTTATGAAAGACAAGTTATGTTGTGAATGGTGTGAATTACGTATGCAGCAGCTGCAGACTGTGCACCGACTACAGACTGTGCACCGACTACAGACTGTGCACCGACTACAGACTGTGCACCGACTAGACTGTGCACCGACTAGACTGTGCACACCGGCTACAGACTGCACACCGGCTACAGACTGTGCACACCGGCTACAGACTGTGCACACTGGCTACAGACTGTGCACACCGACTACAGACTGTGCACACCGACTACAGACTGTGCACACTGACTACAGACTGTGCACACTGACTACAGACTGTGCACACTGACTACAGACTGTGCACACTGACTACAGACTGTGCACACTGACTACAGACCGTGCACACTGACTACAGACCGTGCACACTGACTACAGACTGTGCACACTGACTACAGACTGTGCACACTGACTACAGACTGTGCACACTGACTACAGACTGTGCACACTGACTACAGACTGTGCACACTGACTACAGACTGTGCACACTGACTACAGACTGTGCACTGACTACAGACTGTGCACTGACTACAGACTATCTAAGACAAAACTTTTTTCCAGGCGTAATTTAACTTTGCAAACTTCGCACCGGGTGCAGATTATAGTCCGGGAAATACGGTATCACTCAAGCCACAAAACGCAGCACTGGCGAAGTGAAAATGCAGATGATAAACAGAAAAATCACGCGGGCATGTCAAAGCTTGTTGAACGAATATACGGCTCCCAGAAAAACAAAGCATGCAGTTTAAATCATACTAAAACTGACCGATTTAGCAGTTTTCGATAATGCTCAATGAAGTTGCCACTTGGAACTGTTATTTTTACAAATCAAAAAGTTAATTACACAAAACTAATAAAAGACTGTTGTTTTAAATGCCATGTACCTAAAAAGAATAGACCCCTTGACAGCGACCATTACTACAGTACCAACCCTAGTCCTGCACGATGCATACATCTTTTGCGGACAAATTTTGGCCGGCATTTCGTGAAGCCCCTCACATACTACAGCACAAGCTCTCAAAGGGCAAAAGACGTCTGGCTTCTCCACACTGTCTTCGCAAAAGAGGTCCAGAGGAGCTCGTTGCCCAGGGTCGTCATAAACCAGATGCCCACCTCCTGGCTCATGTCACGGTCCGAGCGGTGCTTGAGGAGGCAGCGGTAGACGCGTCCCTCGCCCGAAGCCACGTTGGCACAGAAGTGCTGCCGGTCCTCACGGCAGGCAAAGAACAACGGCCGGTCGAGGTGGAAGTCCTCCCCTTGGATGCGGGCCAGGTGCAGGATCTCCTTGCGGCATGACTTGCTCAGCTGCTCGCTTGCCTTTGAGAGGCACTCAATCGTCTGGCCCTGCGAGTGACGCTCCTGCGCCCACCAGCCGTAGGGGAGAAATCAGCCGTGGGGAGACGGCTCCTCCCAACATGATACACCCGGTACACATGCTAGTATGCTTGGTACCCTTGGGTTATTGGTGCCCACGGACCAATAATAACCGCTTGAAGGCTTCAGGTCGAACCACTGCGGGTGAACAAGTTTGCGAGTTTCTATTGTCAATTGCGTGTTGCGCACTCTCCCCTGCCGTCTGGGCCATGGAGATATTGAAATAAATACATTTAAAAAGCATTGACGTGACAAAAGAGCAAGCACCATTAAGTGACGCAAAGGCAACTCTCCTCTGAGGGATCGCCCATCCCGCTTTTCTGGCTAAATATCAGTAACATAAAAATTCCGAAACGTCGCCCACCATCCCATTCCAGTCGGACATCATATGATGTCCGACGGGAATTGCATCAACTGCACGATTTGCGGTGCCGGTACGGGTGACAAGCGAGTCCGCAGCGGGTGACAAGCGAGTCCGCAGCGGGTTCCCGCGTTTTTGTTCGCAATCTCCCCGTCTAATATTGTTCCCCGCAGCACGAGAGTTTGTAGCAAGTTCTCAAGTTTTGGGTCCACGATCCGCACCAAGACATTGATTCCCATGGCAAACAAGTTTGTAGCTGGTTCCTGCGTTTACCGCACCGTGCCGCTGGCTGCAGTATCCTTTCCCGTGACACGAGAGTTCATTGCAAATTCCCGCATTTATTGCTTTGTGAATCGCGAATTTGCCATGTCAGCGATCTGCAGTATCAGTGCGTATATGTGTCACGTGGTTTGTTGTTATCATTAACTATTTATAAAGTTTTGCCGTCTCATCGCCAAAGATAGCCCACCTCATGTTTTTCACCACTTACCTCTTCATTTTGGGTGGATGCCCTTTCGAGATTTTACAGTGCTTGAGTGATGTTAAAAAAAAAAAGGGAAAAAAAAAAAAAAAAACTAAAAGACTTAGTTGTATTCAAGACATCACCAGAAAAATGAAAGTAGGTGTGAGAACAATCTTGCCAATTCAAGGTGGCATGCCCCTGTATCCAGCAAAAACCTCGCCCAGACACTCGGGCTCGAAAGAAGCAATTGCCCACCTCGGGATCCTTGGAGATCCGACCGCAGTTGAGCCTATTTATGTCTTCACCGCACTCTTCGGTGAAGCGGTACACCAGTCGGTAGTCCGAAAACACCACAGACTCCATGCGACTCAGCAACCCCCGGCACTGCTGATCTGTTGCATTCTCCGAGTGGTCCATGAGGCAAGCTAGGAGCTGACCTTTCTCCGACGCATCACAGTTGGGGTACTGTAATATCGGTGCAATCGGATTATGACAAGACTGCTATGAGCGGTGCATTACTAATAACAATTTAAATTAATCATACCATTTTTAGAAGATTCGAACAGAACTGCTTTGCTGCTGCAGTGAAACGTTCATCTTGTGTAACGTTACGCCTGAACGTCCACAACAGCTGGAAAAGAAGGACGATATGTGTTACAAACACTCGAATGATTGACTGTCAATGGCCAAGGCTCAACTGTGGCCAGGAAATTTTGGCAGAAAGAGTCAAGATTGCATGGCCACCATGGTGCATTGTCGGATTTCCTGTTGTGTGTAACCCCACCCTCATATTGTCATGAGGGGCCTTTATGAAAAAATAAATAAATAAGTGTATGTAAAAGAAGCACTTAAATATTTTAGAAAATCACTGTCTAGGCTCTTGTGCTGTAAAGTTACGTCGGACAAAACTGAAGTTATGTCCGACGTAACTTTACTGCAAGGTTTCGAGTTATGTTTGAGGGAACTCGAAATGAAAATGAAAGTTACATCCGACGGATATAAAAGTTAAAGTTATGTCCTGTATAGCCCATGCAACCTTAATTAATGTTACGCTTTACGGTCGATACATGACTTAAACACGAACTTATTGTGAATTATTACGTTACGCCCGATGCAGCACTCGTTAATTAAAATCGCGACTCCATCTGTACCTCCAGGTACAGATGCCCGTCACATTATTATTTTTTTTTCTTTCTCGTATTTTATCTTTATCTTTAAGGACAATTTCTTGCGACGCTTTCTCAGAATCGTGGACGTTCAAAGGAATTACTGAGATAGAACAGTGATGTGATACAAACTTGCTGTTTACAGCAGCAGGGTTTCCGACAGACTTGTTGAAAACTGGCACGATCTTCACATACCACTCAAGTCGCCACGCGCACTAGCTTTGGCAGTGTTTTCTTCCAGGGTGTCTTAAATAAAGAGCTGATTCGAGGGCACCGCCCAGGAGTGAGAATGACAAAAGGCCCTCGACCTTTAGCCAGATCAACTATGCTCTCAGCCCAAGCCAGCAAGGGCTACAAGCAGGTGTAACAAACGCAGCAAGGATAGCAAGAAGTGTTTTCATATCGAAAAAAATTCAATAAATTGTCTTATATGAGGGGAAAGAAAAGAAAAAAAAAAAAAAAAACATGTGACGTGACTGGCATCGAACCCACTTTCAGCAGCCTTGGTGTGCGAGGAACACACTCCAGCCCTCTCAACAAAGCTGAAGGTACGGAAAGAGTCGAGATTTTAACCGATTCACGAATGCTGCATCGGACATAACGCAGTAAAAATTCACTATAATTTTGTATTTACATTATGCATCAGCCGTAAAGCAAAACATACGCATAGGTTGTGTTGGTTACACAGGACGTAACATTAACTTTTATTTCAAGTTCCGTCGGTTGGACATAACTTTAATTTTCATATTGGGTTATGTCGGACGCAGAGCCGTATTCGCGACTCCAGCAAAACTGACGACACGAAGCGGGAAAACCGGGAACCAGCCGGACCAGGTCGCTCCGCACCCCTCCGCGTCTCTGGTGGCTTTCTTGGACGCGTGTTGTCGGCGCTGTGGCGAACAATGTAATTTGACGAGGGTCCGAAAATTTCTTGAGTTTGCCTGAGTGCTCATTAGTGTGGTGAAGCCTCAGTAGATTGTTTCCTTCCATCACGTGTTTGAAAGTCCGTTTACTCCACAACAGACGGTCGCGTGCTTTCGATTTCTTGGTTGGGGAGGAATCATGGAAAAAACGTTTTGATTTCTTGTCCGTCTCTAATCACATTCAAAGTGACGACTACTTGGTAACTGATGTGGTTTCTTTATAAGGATGTAGAACAGTGAACTGAGGACGACAGACGAGGCATTTCATTCGAGGGAACACCAATGTGGCAGTCAAGTGAATGGGAAGGTTCGATAGCTGCTTTTCTTGAGTTTGGTTGTGTTCGATTAGCTTCAAGTTTGAGCCACCCACGCCGGTCGGTGTGTTGGCTATTTATCTTGGCTGCTTTTCGCCGAAAAAGCCTCTGCACCACTCTGAAGGAGTTGGGCTGACTTTCGCAATTGCCTGATTCAGGAAAACCTGCTCGCTGCAAATGATGAATGAGGGAAATTATCTCTTTTCAAAAGGTGGGGGACGCGTCTCACAACGTTAGAAGCTGTCACGGCATTTTGATCTATCGCGCCTCCAATATTTATATTATGCCCCCGTCAAAGCCAGCAGCCACATACGTCTACGTTGCTCAGGTTGACCGGCCACAAAAAATGCTAATTTTCACCGTTCAGGATTCAAAGCAAAATTCAATGCAGAGACGTTCTGCGTGAATCTCCAATGAAGACTCTCTTCAGTTTGTCTCCGTGCTGCCGGCTAGAACCATTTGGCTAAGTTTAAGTAGTATCTCTCTGTCTGTCAAATATACTTTTATTCAGCAGTTCACCTAATAGCTAGTCAACTAAGGCCATATTTAAACCCGAAGAATATACTAAGATCGCTTTAGTGGGACATAATACGTAATACATAACCCGCTCGTCAAAATGACTTCTCGATTGCTACTAAAACCTGAATTGAAATACGAGTATCAGCTGCTTTGTGGGGTGCCGGCGGGTTAACATGCTCCTTGGCTCGAGAAGCGCTTGCTTAATTTTCGTAACTTTCCTGCAGCCTGTGTTGTTGACCGAGCAGACGACTGGAGCTGTTTCCTAAACGTGGATACGCACAAAAGTTTGATTTCGCAGACAGATAAGTCGCATGGTCGAGGCATGCGAGTTAGCTGACAATTGCTCTCGGTGGAACAATACTGTAGTCATCGCCACTTTCCCTAGATGACCAAAACTGATTAGTATAATACAGTCTCTCCGGAGCCCATAGTTTCGGTTTTGAACGAAATCTCCGAAACAAAAGTTTAACAAGGAAGAACAAAAAAAAAAAAAAAAGGGAAAACAACATTATGCTTTGCAAGTTTATGTGCACCGGCTACACTTAACCGTCTCAGTTCAAATACCTATAAAATTGGGCATTAAACAAAACAAAATCTGTTGAATTGAACGCGCCACCTGTTCAGGCGGCCCGGCCGAGCCAACACGACCTGGACTCAGCCACCATGTTTGTTTGGTGGTGGCGCCCCCTATAGGTCGCTGGAGTCTCGAATATGGGGAGAGTTTGGTCAGTCTATGATCTCGCCGCCGTAACGCTCCCCTCCAGAGCGAGCCAATCAGCACGCGGCGCAGAGTGAGAGGCATGAGCGCATGCGCGTGAATTCCCGGCTGCTCGCAACTGGGTGGAGAGGGCCGCCATCTTCGATCATTCTCCCGGCGGAATGCGTGGGATCGCCATTTAAATCTAGATTACAGCCTTTTATATCGCTGGCTCTGGCAAGAAAATGACATTCTGTTATTCCTCGGTGGGTTAAAAAGCTAATGAATGAAGATTTTTCGGCGTATGGCCACAAACTTTTATTCAGGCGAAAAAGAAGTCTGCCCGTAGCAGACGACGTGTAGCCTCAGCAGTGCTCTTCTCCGACCAGACTCCGACAGCGTTGCTAAAAAATGGCGGTCGTCTCCTCTCTGCTCCCTTCTTTCTCTCTCGCTCCTTCGGCGCTCTCCTCCCTTTCATTTACTTTTCTCCTCTCCGCCGGCTTCCTTGCCACACCCACTGGCCAAACTCTCCCAATATACGGCTCTGGTCGGACGTAACCCAATACGAAAATGGTGGTGTGCAAATCAACTCATTCAGTGGTGTGCAACTCGAAACCTTGGGGTAAAGTTACGTCAGACGTAAATAATTTTTATTCTGGGTTCCGTCGGACGTAATGCTAGACACTGCGATGAATTTAAGATAATGCTCAAAATCAACATTCAAGTTGTAACGATAAAGCAAAGATGGCAAGTTAGCCTCCATGTTAACCCAAAGAGTAAAGCTATACGCACTCCGGAGTGCGCTTCGTACGGAAATGGCTATACGCACTCCTCGGAAAGCTCATGTCGCTCGGGCCACCCTTTTCGGACGACGCGTGTATCACTGGGGAGCTCGTTAACACAGCCCCCCACCTGCGTTCACGCCGCTTCGCGGCGACAGTATGCGGCTGCTAATTGCAAAACTTAACCAATACACGCCGCTTCGCGGCGTCCAGCCGGCAACCCAAGCCCCGCTGCCCCGATCGCACCGCCGGAAAGGGGTCCCATACCATTTAGTTCTGCGAAGTTTCGTCGACAATGAATTTTTTAGTGTTCATCGCAAAAAAGAAATGTAACGCCCAATGCCTCAACAAAACAAAATGTTCGAGAACATGAAACAAAAAAAAAGTCGGCCCACCGCGGATCGAACCCGTGTCCACATGCGTACAAAGCAGATACCTTAACCACTATGCTATGCCACTTTTTTTTTTTCTTTATTGCCTGGTTAGACAGATTTTTTACAATACACGCAAAAAGGAAAGGCTAAAACACTTCAGCCGTACGAAGGCCGTGGCGGTATGCTAAAATCGTTTAAAACTGGCCAACTGATCCAACAGTGGTAACCAGTCTGGAGGCTCGGCGAGGGCGCGATAAGCTTTTCTTACATAGACAATGTTTTCAATAAAGTTTTCACGCACAGTGCGAACATTCACGTCTGCGTGTCGTAAACTCATTCTCGTCTTCCACATACTGTGGAGACTCAATAACAGAATCATATCATACGGAATTTCATCTTCATTTTTCACAGCCAGATAACGAATACCGCGTGGGTTGACAGGTAAATCTTTTTTGAGGGTACGCTGGAGGATGTCCCAGTGGAACACAGCGTCCCAACATTCGATAAACATGTGTTCTACGGTTTCGGCTTTTTTACACAATAAACAATTGGTGGACCAGGGGACGAATAAACCTTTTTCCTCCAGTTAAGTTTTCACCGACTATGCTATGCCACCGCTTAGAAAACTGCTAGTGACCATTCTTTTTATACAAGTTCAGCGGAGTGCGTATAGCCATTTCCGTCTGAAACGCACTCCAGAGTGCGTAGAGCTTTATTCTAACCCAAATGCAACAGAAGGTCGGCCGCGGCAAAATTTTGTAGTTATAAAAAACAGTGTCACACTCAGTAATAAGCAACATCCCTGCATTTCTACACAGAAACGAAAGTAACTCACGTGATGACACTCGTCGGACAACTTCGCATCCTCTTTCCTCTGCAGGTTAAAATAGGAGAAACAATAATGACTCGAAAATGTGGCAGCAACAAAACCGTCAATCCTCATTGCGAAAAGCAACCAAAGGTGGCAATTCTTGTCAAAATAAAAACAAAAACCGTGGCTCCCATGACACTGAACGACAAACGGACATTACAACCTTAACTGAAAGCAAAACTGCTTAAAACTTATAGGGGGTGACCCAGACGAACTTCATTCGACGCTAATGCCTAAAAGAATAGAGAAAGTTAACTATTCATATCAAGAACAACGGCAAAAGCGTAACCTAGATTAAAAAAAAAATTTTTAAAAAGACGAGGTAATCATGGAAAGTGTCAGCAAAGTTACGTACAAAAGAGAACAAAATTTGCCACGCCTGGAAGCTCGGCACTGCGAATTATCTGCAGCTATCTTTGTCACATGTCCGTGAGCGCAGCAAAATTCTTGACAGGCAGCGCAAGCATATCGACACGCCCGATGAGCCCCCGTGAGCAACGAAACAGTAGTGAACGAACTTACCTGAGCGTTTTGAACGCAGTCTAGCACGTTAAAATTGTTTGTGAGAAGACTCGGAGCGCAGAGCGCCTTCAAATCACTGGCACATTGAGGTGTTTCGGCCAGTCTCAAAGAGCTGGCCGGGCTCGCGTGCTCGGCTGCCGCTCGCTTCAAGAGCTTGGAGCTCGCGAGCTGGGGGCCGCCTGCCAGGGAACCGACGACATTGTCCTCTCTGTTGGGCGCGGGGCCGCCTTGGTGCGAATCCGCCTGGGGCACGCAGCACGACAAACAAAGCACGAGTAGAAACGAAAATGCGCACTGACTCAAACTGTTTAACAAACGACACCGCTCCTGGGACGCCATATTGGTGGCGGTGCCAGCCGTGCCAGCGGTGCGGACTCGAGGGAGCACGAAAAGCAAAAGTGGAAAAGGAGTGGAGGGGGAAACCGGGAAGTAGGAGAGGAGGTGAAGTAACGGACCTAGCGCCACCGAACGTCACCAGAAAATACATCGTCGCTTTTACCGCTTTTACCCACTTGCTTCTTTTCTATTTTCTTTTTCGCATAAAGGCATTATTACAATGGGCTGCGTTCAGGCCCTTACGTGTTTTTGTCAAGAAAGAAAACTAGAAAAATTAAACGATAAAAAAAAAAAAACTCCGAACTTGCTTAAGACTGCGGCGGGAATTTTGAATTGGGGCAAATTCAGCGCAAATGAAGTTCCAACTCGAGAGCACTATAGTGTTGCAAGCTCACTTTCGCTCGTGAAAATCGGACGAAAACGCAGAGAAATAGATGTGCGGGGCATTGGTCGCACCAGCGAGAGGGCTAAACTGGGCGAACCGGACGACCTGCCCTGTCCTAGTGACCTTCCGAGTCACCGGGTGGGACCAGAACCGCCGTTAGACAAACCTGTTTGAGGGTCCTTTCCCAAAACATATTCCTAGTTCAGACGCCACCTGCACGACATTCGATGTTTAGCTCGAGAATGCTCTTGACGCTGTGTTTCTCATTCGCCTCAACTCTGATCGAGCTTTCCGGCGCTGAACCGCCGCAGGGTCCCGATGGGAGAGTGCATTTCGACGGGTGAGTCGATCATTGTTGGAGACAAATTTGAACCTGCTTAAATAATAATTTCCCCGGGAAACTCTAGGTCACGTGTTTCTATACTAATATGATTATCAGTGGTAGCAGTAGAAGTTTACTCTACGGCGAGCAAGTGTTCCAAATTGCGTCTTTAACGCATCGGCGCGCAAAAAAGAAAAAAAAGAAAAAAAGCACGCTAATTAAAGAGCAACATAGAGAACACGCCGGGAACGCGCGATGACTAGGCAGCCAACCTTGAACCGTCATTGGTTCAGATCAGGGGGGGGGGGGGGGGGGGGGGGGGAGGAGGGGGGGACAAAAGCACGTGCTCGTTTGGGGAACAAACGCACGAGGTGCGCAAGGAGCAGACAAATTTGCTCGCCGTCTTTGGCGCATCGAAACGTAAAGAGGGGCGCGCCAATCAAAGGGCAACGTAGAGACAGGGAATGAGCGATGACTAGGCAGCCAAGCTCGCGACGTCATTGGTTGAGGTAGGGGGGAAACAAACGCACGAGGTGCGCAGGGAGCAGACCAACTTGCACTCCGTATTCTCTGTTTCACAGGGAACGTCACGATCCTCGGGAGCCAGTCAAGCAACGCCAAAAGTGCATCGTCACGGCACTGGTTATTTTTGTGCGTTTTCTATTACTGGCTAGACCAATCACGCAAAGTGAATGCGCCGTGATGGTGCGCTTTTCTTTGAGCATGATTGGTCTAGCCGGTGATAGCAAGCACACGACGAGCGCCATGACGGTGCTCTTTTGGCGCTGCTTGATTGGCTCCCGAGGATCGTAGCACTCCACTAAATTGATATCGTTGGAAGCTCGAAAGCAAGAAATACACACCCATGCTGCTAAAAAAAAAACACGGACATTGTTTGTTTCCTTTTTTGTTCACCCAACTCTGTGTTTTTTAGTGTGACCACTCACCAGGTCGCCTGCGCGCTGACTGTTTTAACGTGAAACGAATTCTTTTGCTCGGTGTTGTGTATTTTTCGTGAAGCCCAGATAAAAGCGTGACGCGTACGAGGCTCGACACTGATTGGTTAACGGGTGGAAGAGGATGAGTGAGGCACTCGACGCTGATTGGTTAACGGGGAGGCCACGTGCGCAGTGGGGTAGTCGAGAAGGAGCTCGACCACCTTTGCGCACTGAGGGAAAGGAGCTCGAGAGTATGGAAGGCACTGGAAGATCGCCGCGTAGTATCGGCCGGATTAGCGGTAGTACATGTTTGCAAGTACGGCCTCAGGGCGCCGCCATCTTGCTCGGTTGGGGTGCGCTTGGGCGTCGTAATCGGATTATGGCCGCGCCCAAGTGCACCCCACTGAGCAAGATGGCGGCGCCCTCGGGCCGTATGCTCGCAAACATGTATAGCTTCATTCTGGGAACAAATATGAAGCGTATACACACGGTACGCGTTAAATTGTCTGATGAAGAGCGCCGTGAACGTATAGGGTGTCTGGCGTCTGGCAACTCAGGCTACACGTTTGTGATATTAGAACGTTTCACGTATGCAACGATTTGCCTTTCTTTTCTTTTTCCGGTACCAGTGCGTGCTTCGTGCGCCTCCCCTCAAGAACGATCGGCGTTCGGGAGCCATCTTTAGAAATTATATATGGCGGGACGCGAGCCACCGTGTCAGCCACGCGCGTTTACCGCGCGTTTATTCAGTTTTTAGTATATAAAAGAAATCCGCATGCTGGAAGCGCATAACTTTTATTTTTTCCTTCTCATTTGTTAGGTATACGGTGTACAGGCTGTATCCCCATGACGTGAATCAACTCAAGTATTTGGCTGATTTGGGAAACAGTGACACGGACGGCGTATGTACCTCGTGCCTACTTTTTCTTGCACCCTTCTGCCACACACTTCAAGGTATACCCCCCAAAGAAATGGCGAGCATTCATGATTCGAGTGCCAAGCCACGCGATATCCACACAAACTAAATCGTCACAGTACAATGAGCGATCGTAACTCTAAAAAAATACGAAAATCGACGGTATGTACACTCTATAAGTGGTGTTGTTCGATGTAAGGAAGTGCTGTGGCCACGAAGCTCACACTGCTCATACATCATATACAAAAGACATGGCGAGAGAATGATTTGCGGGCACGCCTTAGGCATCTTAGAAACACGTTGGCTTCACAGATGCTTCAGACATGTCGGCAGACAGTTGTTTTTTTTGTTTTTTTTTTGGCATGACCCATGCTCTGTGATGTGACACGAGGAAGGCGCCTCAGAGACTGTCTTTTGTACGATGCACGAGCAGTGCGTCCGCGCGGCTTTAGTGTTTTGCATGATTGTATTTTAACCTTGAGGGATGCTGGCCCTTCAATGTTCCAGTTCGACTTCTGGATCGAACCGTCTCGGGTCCATCGCTTTGTGGACGTCAGCGTGTCACCGGACCAGAAAAGGCAGTTCACGGCACAACTGCAGATGAGGGAAATACAGAGTGAAATTCTCATCCCAGACCTCGAAGAGTATGCTTTACCTGTTCTTTAAAAAACTTCACGTATTCAATTTTAATCCTGCTAAATAACACCTCGTTTTTTTGCTTTGTTTTTATTTACTTGAAACAGCACTGTTCGGGCTGAAGCGGGGGTTATCCTCTTCAATTTAACGCAGTCAACTCTTAAACGGAAAGGGGACGTGTAGGGCCCTGCGTTAAATACATTCGTAGCAGGTTGACTATAATCTATTGTACCCTACAGAGGGTGAAGAAAGGCGCGAAAAGGTCCTCCCACAAAGCCCTTCCCTCTTTCCACTTTAGCGAACGAACGCTGGGAAGGGGGGGGGGGGGGGAAGGCGAGGAGGAGACTCTCCAGTGCTCGCTTTGCTAAAGTGGAAAAAAAAAAATCATGAGCCATTTTACTTTGTGAAGGTGTAAGACTAGCGAAGCTGTTTACACGACACAGACGTGACACAGAAGTTTGAATAAAGGTACGAACACATTTATTGTCTTGATCGGTGGTCACTGTGACGAGCCGCAGGAAACCAGACACGCACGACGGGACCGCCACCCCGGGAGAGGGAAAGGAAACTAGGCACGCAAGCGGCTTGAAACGGCCACGAAGAGAGGGCGGTGCGAGCGGGCCGACGCAGGTCGCACAGCGGCAAATCTTTGAGAAACCTTTATTATCCAAGGGGGATAGAAGGGTGGGTGAGGGCATGACGTCAGCCGCGTAGCCTCCACAAGCCATGCTCCCTTGACGCCTCGCCTCTTTCTCATTTTCCTCCTTACTCTCCTCACTTATCAGCCCAACATGACCACATCACGTGACCGTAGCTAGCCTTCGTCTAGCTAGTCTAGCCTTCGATCTGATAAAACCTACCGGACGGAGCGCGCGCAAGCCTGCAAGGAATCCTCCTACGATCAACCATCCATCTCGCACGTGACACCAATCGTCAGGGAGATCTGCGGTCACGTTGGGCACAATATCGTTTAAACTTTTTATGACTAGGCTTCCCCAATATTGCAACGTGCCCCCTCCTAGTACTTATAACCGCCTTGTTATTATCTACCCGAGAGTCTACTGATCTTGAAAATGGTGCCTATTGATAACTGATCCACAGAAACTGCATATCAAAGTGATGAGACGTATAAGTTTTGCATAGAATGAAGCGATTTTGCACCAGATTCGGGACCTGAGTTTTGATGCGAAAGTATTAACTGTCTCATGGAGCGAGCTGACGTCATCAGTTTGAAGCACGAAAGCGGCTCCTAGTTTCCGCGATTTCACTTCCGGGTCCATTGGCTGGCGCGCGTCGACGGGGCTCACACTGGCCGCTGCGCCATGGCCTCCGAGATCCCGAAGCGCGCGCGCGCTAGTACGCAGCAGACGACAAAGGGAGTGGACGAGCAGACGACACAGGGAGCGGACGAGTGGCTTGCATACTTTCGCATTCACAGCGCATAAGAAATGCTTAGGTGTACCTCAAACTTTTTCGTTGACGCACACGAAAAATCCACGGAACCTTAGTCGTAAGCAGCTTCGCTGCAGAAGAGTGGAGGGCTTCGTGGAAGGATCTTTTCATGCTTTTCTTCACCCACAATAGGGTGTAGTCGCGAGGCCCCACATAGAGCGTTTCGTCCGTGAGCAATTTATCTTATGACAATTCGTGAAGCTATTGAAACAAACTTGTTATTTTCGTCTTATTTTTGTAGTTTATCGAGCATATTATTGTTTCCGCATGAGTAAACAGAAAACCTAGGTGAGATATTTTCTTTTTTTTTTTTTTTAAGTCGCGTTTTTTTAACGGTTTATTGGATTTCGGTTTTGTTCGCAGTAGATATGGATTAATCTCTCGGACCCGCAACAACCTGGGTCTAGTTGCGCCAGGCCCCCAACAGTTACATCCGCACCAGAAAATACCATTGAAAACAAATTAAAAAAAAAAAAATAATAATAACGTGCGCGAGTTGACATTCGTAGTGGAAAGCGCTGAGCAAACTAAAAGGATGCAGGAAACAAATAATTGTCTTCAAATTTTAAAGCATCAATCAACTTGGAAACAATAAATCACAAAAAATGACCGAACGCTCGGCAGCCTAAAAGGATGTGGGCAGCAAATAAGTAGAAATTTTCAGAGGGGTGTATCGAAATCTAGAACAAGAAAAGCCTTGCAAACTTTCGAAAGCAATTCTCACACGCACTCACCTTTATTGTTCCAGTACCTCGGAAAAAAGAAAACAGCACAGCTGCTTCGTTTTCCCCCTTTCGCTGCACTTCTGCATCTGCCAACTATTACCCATTACATGCTTTTTTTTTTCCTTTTTTTTAACGAAGCTTTAGCGCCCCCCGCCCCCCTTCCCCCCTCCCGAAGTCATGGGCATCCCAACAATTCCCCCCCTCCCCTAAAACAAAATGGCTACGTTACTGGGTTTTGTTTATCTGCCTCAGTACCAAAGCGCCCGCCTCAATAGCCCCCCCCCCCCCCCCCCCTCCCCATGCGCACACACGGCCTCCACTATTCGCGTGACGTCAGGTATCACAAATTATATATTGCTCCCTTAAAGACCCAACAGAGAATTACATGAGGTGTGTGTGTGTGTGTGTGGGGGGGGGGGGGGGGGGGGGGGGGGGCGAGAACATAAAAGGTCAATAGGTAGAAAGCACTCACTATGCGCTACTACCAATATTCATAAAAAAATGGAAGAACAAAAGAACGCATCATGTAAATAGAACAATAAACAACATATATATAAAAAACATAATTACAGTCATAATGAACAGTGGTTCTCAAATGGGGGGTCACTTCTGGGGTCCGCGAGACCCTCAACAATATTTTTTAGTTGTGCCACGTATTGATGAAGTGACCGAAATGAAGTGATGTGGCACCTTTGTTTTATGTTTTCTGCTACGTAGCAATAAAAGGCACCTGTTTCAGGCTCCAGATGTGTTAACTTACCAACGTCCCCCCCCCCCCCCCCCCCCCCCCCCCGCTGGAAGGGGTCCCCCATCAGTGCCAGCGGTCCGCAAGGGGTCCCCGACACATCCATGGCTGAGAACCACTGATAATGAACATTGATAAGTTAGAAGAAGTCATAATATCAACAGAACCAGTCCCTTATGGAAACAAAGAGGTTAAAGGGATGCTGAACCGACATCTGGATTCCCCAAAACACGCGGCAAAAGCGTGCAACGGGATGCTACAAACACCAAAACATCACTCATATAGCGATATCTCGAACGGAGGACCGTATTTTTCAAAAAAAGAGGCGCATTTGGCAGGAATGTTGACGTCATATTTCTCCGAGAAGGAGAGGGAACGGCCTCGCGTCTTTGCTTCGCCTCGCGGCCTTGAGGAAGCGAAGCGAAGAGAGGAGGAAACTAGGTATCTTGACGGTCACGCGCCTCGTCGGCCTGGTTCAATCTCGACTTCTTTTTCCAAAAGTACGGCCTTTCATTTGAGATATCGCTTTCCTGGTAGTGTTGTAGGGATTGTAGCGTCCCGCCTACACCTCCAGCATTGTTTTTTTGAAATCCAAATTTCGGTTCACCATCCCTTTAATGGTCCACGAAACAGGATGGCGTCAGCAACGTCTACGATACAATCGGAATAAGGTGGATATGTGGGCTTTTCGGCACATTTCAACAAAACTAAAAGCGTCAAAAAGCACGGACGATGTGTCCGTGGACCTTTTTCTTTTTGTGGTTCGTAGTCATGATCAGAACATGAGATCAACCCTATGGTGTTGGTGAATTACGTGCAACAGAAGCTAGTCGCAGAAAAGGGCACTGAAACACTCGTCGAAAAAAACACAAACGTCAATTCCTTCGTGAGGTGCTCTTCCCTTTTTTCCCGAGAGTTCAATTTTCGAGCCATCTGGCGGTTTCCGGGACACCTTTTTACACTGGCTGAATTTCGTTCTAGGGAAATTAACAACTCGACAAGGAGTTCCACTGACGTTCCAGACTTACGGTATCCACGCAGTTTCTTTGCGGACTACCAGCGCTTGACTACGGTGAGTTCCATATGCGACCGTCCGCAGCGCTGATCCGTCAACAGTCCAAACTCCCCTCCTGACTGGTCTTGCTCTTTTCTCGCTGTCGGGGACGAAGATTCACAACTACATGCAAAGTTTCAGCGTCAGAAGGAGATCGTTGGCCAGCGTGATAAGCGTCGGAAGGTCTTTTGAGAACAGGGATCTCAAGGCAGTGAAGGCAAGTCTCATCCTCTAAACTCTTTCGGCTTCCAAGGGGCGCAGGCTAACAACGTTACCATATCACAAAAAAAAAAAAAACAAAAAAAAAAAACAGGGTGTGGGGGCTTTTACTGTTCGTGATTGCTTTAGCCCGTTGTAGCAAACGCACAAACATCCAGCGCTATGGCTTTGCATCTTTTGGCGCTGCTTAATTCCAAATTTGACACATACAGAGTAAGGTCGGTCTGCCTTCGAGGTACGGCGACGCTGGTTTACACTGTAGATGAGAAATTTAGCCAGTGCAGTACCACTGCTAGCCTAACGTGCATCATGAATTGTAGCGTCGGTTAATCTGCGCGTCATCTACTAAAATATGAATACAACAGCCCGAAGCGATTCGACGCGCACAATCTCTCTCTCTCTTCGGAAGGCTATATTTTCTTTTAGCACTGTCGTACTGCGGAGAAGCAGCGCAGCACGGCTCCTGCACAGCAGCCTTGTTGAGGATACGAGCGATTTTTGTTTTGTCTATTTTGCGGCCCTAGACCGAATTCACAGCCCCCAATCCAGATTTTCATATCTTATATAAACTGATCTAATCCTGATAATACATTGCAAAATTACGCGTCAAGTGTGCAATATCGCATAAAAGAAATTGTACAAAACATTGGTTTCTAACTAGTTCATTACCGACTCGTGGAAATGGGGCGTGCTGGTTAAGTTACGGTGGTTGTGGAGAATAACATAGAGGTCGTGTCGTCCGGTTTTAGTCCTCTATGTTATTCTCCTCAAACACCGTTCATTACCTAAGTTTCGGAAAACGTTCATTCCAGATATATTGCTGTCAGGACGAATGAACCAGCAAATGAGTGAACGATTGCACGTAGTACATGCATGATAAGGGGCGTGAAGTAACCACTGCTATTATATGGCATTCCAGCTGTCGTCTGGTTTTGCGAGGAGGGCTGTTTGGCTCGATGGCGGCATTCACGCTCGGGAGTGGATTTCGCCGGCCACTGTAATGTACATCCTCGAGGAGGTACGAACGCACTTCACTTTCCTCGACTTACAAGAGCTATCAGATGTCTCATCACAGAATGCCAAAAGCAGTCTGACTAATGAGAATAGTGACTCATTATTATAAAAAAAAAGAAAACAAAGTAACCAAGAAAAAAGAAATAAGCCGGTGACCCATGAGCATGGGCGTACCAACCGGGGGGGGGGGGGGGGGGGGCAAGGGGCGCTTGCCCCCCCCCCCCCCCAGCTTTGAGTGTGGTGTGTGTGTGTGTGCGGGGGGGGGGGGGGGGGGCAAGCCATGTGTTTTGCCCCCCCCCCCCCCCTGAAACATTGATAGAATTGCTGCGTGTTATATTGTGATTGCCGTGCTCATTAAAGGGATACTACAACGAAATTTCGGCGCTCATTTTTTGGTCTATATGTGTTCAAAAAAGCACCATCAAATCGAACATACCAATATCTTGTTAAAAAGTCACGAAAAGGAATTTTAAAACGAATTAAACGATTAGCAAAGAGCACCTGGTGGACGTCGCTAACGCTTCGCTTGTAATGCCCGTCTAGGAACCTTGGCAGCTAGTGACGGAGGTTGTCTCGCCTCCGGCCACGACGAGAGAAGAGGGGCAGAAGGAACTCCCCTCTTCCCGAGAATGCCTTTTGTGTGTCACAGAAGTCGCTATTGTCCCCCTACAAGATTATAGAAGATTAACCCGTCACTCAAAATTTGTACAAAAGCAGCCGCTTCGGTGGCTGGAACGACTCGGCCATCTTCTCGACGTCAGCCTCGCCGTAGCTTTGCTCGTCTTGAGACGACCTACGTCACGATTGCGTTGGATGTCACGTGGTCTCCGCTGGGCCTTCTCCGAGCGCTTGCCAGAGTGGGCCGTTTATAAGGAAAAATACAGCCACCAGGCTCAAAATACAAACGTGAGATTGTCTTTTACGGATATTGTGGATCATATTCAACCTATTTTTAAACACGACGGGAATATTTCAAATTTCGTTGAAGTATCCCTTTAAAGTGTCCATCAGTAACGTATAGGCGGAAAGTTTTCAATTTTTCGGCGAACTCTGTTAACATAATAATGCAGGCAATGCAAAAGTGCAAGCGAGCTGGACAAGAATGACGAAAATAATCAATCATTAGATTAATAGATTAGTTTCGTCGTTCTTGTCCAGCTCGCTTGCACCTTTGCATTAATTGCATTATCATCATAACCTTAAAATGCAGGCCGTTCACCCTTGCTGGGGTTAGACTGGTGGCGGCTGATAAAACCCGCTTGTTCTACTGCAAAGTCTAACTCCTGGTTAACTCAGTTGGCAATAAAGAAAAACAAATACCGGTTACCTCAGTTGCTACAGCGCTCCACTGGAAATGGAGAGGTCCTTGGTTCGATACCAGGACCAGGCGGATTTTATCCGCCGCGAGTCACCTAGCTGTGTTTGGAGATTTGTGTTTGTCCTTTTCCCCCATTGTTCCCGTTCTCCAGGGATTATTTTCGTCATACTGTTAACCTAGCGCATGCTTGATTACTTTCAAACATCCCCTGTGGCGTCTACAAGTTGATCAGTGGATACAGCAATGACAACGACACCACCAGAATCCTGGATACCTTTGATGTGTACGCTCTGCCCGTAGCGAACCCCGACGGCTACGAGTACACGCACACCTTCGTAAGTGTTTCATTTATGGCTAGAAAAACGTCACTCGAATTGTGAGCCCGTTCTTTGACACGATGTTCTGCGGTGCTACTTTTCAGAACCGGCTATGGAGAAAGACCAGGTCAACATCTTCGAGCTTCTTCTGCCGTGGAGCTGATCCCAACAGAAACTTTGGTTTCAAGTGGAGCTGTAAGTTCTCGACACACGCTCGCCTTTCGGCATCTATTTTTGTAGCCGATTTCAATCGTTTCCACTTTTTTTTATATATATTTCTTTTTAACTTTTTTTATATTTTTGGGGGGTTTCTAATAATTAACAATCATTTCCCTGCTCCGCTGGGTAAAAACGTTTGCTGAATGACACTTGTTCCCCCTAAAAATTAGTATTTCTTTAAATATAATATTAGGACGAATATTTCCGACAATCGAATGCGAAAACATGCACTCACTATACATAAACCAAGGTGGAAAAAAAATCACGTTTCTTTTTAAAGAAATTAAATAAATCAGATTTATTTGATTTGTATCAAATTAGCTTGATTTATATCAGATTAATTTTATTTAAATCCCTATAGTTACAAAAAAAGTGATTCTTAATCACTTTGTGTTCAAGCTCAAGAACCGTAGTAAAAAAAGTCCGGCTCCTCGCGGAGCATTACTAATTTCGCCCTTCATGTGTTGAATTAAGATCTATGTAGGTGGGCATCCGAGAGTAGCTTTGTGTCATCTTATCAAGGCGTACACGTTTCAAACGCCACAGGCATCGCTTCTTCTTCTGACAACCATGTCATGTAAGAACTACTTGGCAAAGCGCACGAAGAATGCGCAAAACTTTTATTTTCTTGGTGTGCCAAACATGGCAGATTGATTTGTCCATTCGTCTGACTACTGAAAACAACACGGAAGAAAGAATCGTAGCAAATTTAATGTACAGTTTAATTATCAACTCTTTTTTTTTTTTTTTTTTTTTGTAAACCCCTACATAATAGAACATAAATACTTGGGAATGTAAAGGCGCGTACGAGCTGGCTTATATTGAACATGACATAAACCCCGAGACTGCAGGCACGTGCATTTTTTTAGTTAGCGAAAGAAAGGCCAAAGTTCCGGTTTGCTCAGAAGACCACGCAGAAACCAGATTCGCGTGTGGTGAAGCTTTTGCGCATGCGCCGTGGCTGCAACAGCGCCACCGCAGAGGCGCGACGTCAGTGATTCTTTGATTTAAATACCAAAGATAATGCACATAAAAATACATCAAATGATAGACAAACGGAAAACAAACAAATATTTTTGAGATTATTCTTGCGGGAAAGGTTTGATTTATATCATGGTTGAAACCTCGATTTTTATTTTCCGCCCTCCCATAAACCGAAGCGTCTCTTCAGAACTGGATGTGACGATCCAATCCAACTCTCACTCCCCCTTGGAAGGTCTCAGTCATTGTCTCAGTCCAACACCACGTCCTCAGCGCTCTTCAGCCTGTTTCTCTTTCCCGCAACTAACACTGACAGTGCGGTGGGAGCCAGTGGGAGCGACGTGCTAGTTAGACTATCCCACTCCCGCTCCGCTCGTACGGACACGCAGAAAGAAGTGGGGGTCAGGGGACCGAAGAGAGGCGGTTGATTGGTCCGACTGGCGCGTAGCTCCCACCGCACTGTCAGCTTAGAAAATGGCCTTGGCGCTCACAGCCTTTGCCTAGGCGGAACGGCTGTGCGAGCGCAGCCTAGTGGGTTTTCCCCCTTGTGGGAGTTTTACGTACCTTTACGCCTGGGACCGGTGCTCAAAGGGGAACCCGATGCCCGTTCCCACGCGCGGCCGACGGCTACCGGCGAGGGCGGTCGTCGCGCCGGGTTTGCCAATGCCATGCCAACAACGATGATCCCGGTATCCAACAGCGTTTATTGGGAAACAGGGGTCCCCGACAAGACACTGCCGACACTGCGGTCAAGCTAGCCGTGGCCACAGAGTGCCCGCAGCGCCCGCCGACCTGAGAGCCAAAGAGCTATTGCGAGCGCAGTCATCGCCGGTGGGCCGAGCGCGGGAGTTCGGGCCAGGGCTCTCCGCAGACGGACGTCCACTCGAAGGAGGGGACGCCGACTGTCAGAGCCAGGGGAAACGCCAGCGTTGAGTCATCGCCGGTCGGACGAGCTCGTACGCCGCGACTCGACGTGTCGCCCGGAGTCCACTCCAGGGCTCCTCGACCATACGGCCGCCCACACAGAGGAGGAAGACTCGACTGTTCTGCGCTATCTCGCTGGTCCCCCGAAAACGGGAGACGGGCGGAGGAGTGCGAGAGGGTAGGCCAACATGGTGGCGTACTCTGCCCGACACGATACGGAGCGAGCAGGCTCGAGGCCAGACAACTCCGGCCGGAACATCCGCGACTTACGCCTTCTCGGGGGAGGGAAACCAGTGGCTCCCACACCTTTGAATTGAGAGTAGAGCCCCTTGCTGCTTTTCTGTTTGTCTTGCAAGTACGGCCAAATGCGCAAGCGCACGAGGCCCCCTCCTGCATGTTCTAAATGGCGGCGCAGCACTGAAATAAGCGGCGTTTGGAAGCAAATGGTGACGGAGCACTCGTCCGTCTCGCGCGTTCACACAACGGCGGCTGTCGGTACTTGTAAGAAACGCAAAGCGCGAATTTGATCGAGGCGCTTTAGTTGGGAGTAAAGTTCCTATACAGGATCCCTACGGGAGCCAGAGTTGCGCGTCTGTTTTCCACGTGCCGCCGCACCGCTATTCGCCGAGATCCGATCACGTGAGGAGCAGACTCCAAATGCCGTGAAAGCCACCGGTACGGCTGCTTCGCCGACGGTGCAAGCGCCTCTGCGTACGTTCTGCAAAAGCGGGGGGGAGTGGGAGGAGAGGGGGGGAGCCGGTTTCTCTATGACGTTGGCACCGTACATATGTCGATAACACCTGGGTGGTGGGGGTTACTGTGTTACCTGTGGCACAGTCTACAGAGCTCGTTATGGTCGAGCGTGCTGGAAGTATGGCGTAGCCAACTTAGCGAATAACCATGTATTCGTGCATACGGCTATAATGCGTCTTCGAAGGAATTCAGTAGTTTGTTGACAAGAGTCTATAACAAGGTCTTAATGCGATGCTAGATGGTTGTTCAGAGCACGTACGATCGGTGACATGCACGGCTTAATTTATATAATGTTTGACAAATATGCCTTACATATATTTAAAAAAAATACTGAATTTTAATAGTGAGAGCACAAAACAGACGGAAAATATTTTTTTTTTTTTGTTCTAAATGCTGCATGTTGTATCTAACAGGACTGGAAATTCTGCTGTATTTTTTTTTTAAATTTGTTTAAGCTGAATTTTGGATACAGTCCGGTGTTCGTTTTTCAGCAATTTTCCGTAAACCCCGACTTTACTGAACCCTTCCTCTGTGAGAACAAGTGGGATCAGTAGGTGTTCATGGCTTAGAAACCAAATGCAGCTCGGATAGTATGTGCAATGCTAATTGCAAACGTCAGTGTAGCTCCCAAATCAGGCACATCAAAAAAAAAAAAAAAAAAAATGAGACATTCCGGAAGTTGGAGGGATCCGGCAGCACATCACAAACGCCCAAGTTTAAGGAAATTTAGCTCCATTTATATATTCGAGCCTAATACTAACACACGAGGAATTATACACAGAACACTTGGGACGCTGCAGATAAAACCCACAGAAGACAAAACGGTTCCAGAAGTTGCAGGCCCACGAGTGGAATATTTTGTTTCGAGAGCAGCCTGACACCTCGACAATGGTATTGGCACCTTTCAGCGGGAGGCTCAAGCAGCAAGCCTTGTTCCGAAGTGTATGCCGGAAGCAAGGCCTTCTCCGAGCCCGAAACCAAGGCCATAGCCAATTTCATCTACGCCCGCCGGAAGGAGATCATGGTCTACATCACGTTCCACTCATACTCGCAGCTGTGGCTTACTCCGTGGGGTTACACACCCCTCCGCCCAGCTAATTACCTCGAGCTGGTAAGTCAACATAGCTGTGCAACTCGAGTGGTGTTTCCAGTGCATTTAGTACATGCGCAAAATCTCAGTGTTGGGTTAAGTACCGCAGGTGCCTGTGAGAAATCCGAACCCTGTTTTTCACACCGAAAAAATAAACTAGACTTCGCGGAGAGCTCAAACTCCGCCAAAGTTCCAGCACCAACCGTTATCTTATTCAAAAGGTATTAGCGATTTTCTGAAATATTCAGTGAAATAATGGCGGCAGACGGAGCTTTCGAATACAAGGCGCTCTTGGGCCAGAACCGAAAACGGGCGAAAATGGGTCCGATTTTCCCACAGAAAAAAACAAAAAACGGTTGGTGCTGGAACTTTGACGGAGTTTGAGCTCTCCGCGAAGTCTAGTTTATTTTTGCGGTGCGAAAAGCAGGGTTCGGATTTCTCGCAGACACCCGATACATCCAAAAAGTGCTGAAAGTACAAAGTAAATGAGAGGTTACGTACTAAAGAAGCCCTGCAACGACATTTTTTTTTTTTTTTTTTTTTTACTGTTTTTTAAATTTGGACCGAATCCGAGAGCAGAGAACGTAGTAACTTGGTGAACGTTTTCTTTTCTCGAAATTCGCGTTATTTTAAAAGTTATAGACCGACACGCTGTTTCCAAACAAGCCCGCGTTTGCCCACACCAGGTGTGGGCACTGCGCGTGCGCAGAAACCGAATTCGGGAGGAGTGAAGCGTCTGCGCATGCGCAGTGCAGAGCCGTATATGGGGAGAGTTTGGTCAGTCTACGATCTCGCCGCCGTGACGCTCTCCTCCCAAGTGAGCCAATCAGCACGCGGCGTAGAGCGAGAGGCATGAGCGCGTGCGCGTGAACTCCCGGCTGCTCCCACCTGAGTGGGGAGGGCCGCCATCTTCGATCATTCTCCCGGCGGAATGCGTGGGATCGACATCCAAATCTCGATTACTGCCTTTTATATCGCTGGCTCTGGCAAGAAAATGACATTCTGTTATTTCTCGGTGGGTTAAAAAGCTAATAAATGAAGATTTTGCGGCGAATGGCCACAAACATTTACTCAGGCGAAAAAGAAGTCGGCCCGTCGCAGACGACGCGTAGCCTCAGCAGTGCTCTTCTCCGACAAGTCTCCGACAGCGTTGCTAAAAAATGGCGGTCGTCTACTCTCTGCTCCCTTCTTTCTCTCTCGCTCCTTCGGCGCTCTCCTCCTTTTCATTTACTTTTCTCCTCTCCGGCGCCTTCGTCGCCACACCTACTGGCCAAACTCTCCCGATATACACCAACTCATGTTTACATAGGGAGGCTGTAGTATGGTGCCTGGAACGCGTCTCCGACTGGTGTGTTTACCGCAGCCAAAAAAGTGGTCCCTCGATTTCCGCCTGATGACGTCATAAAAGTGTCATGCTGTCGCCAGTCGCGACCCTGGCGGCGTCCCAACAGTTGCGATAAAAATAGGAGACGCCTGTTCTGCTGCAGGTCGGTTTCCATTGTGACAGTTCACGGAAGCTAGAGCAGCCGGAAGTTGGAACGCCTAAAGCGACGCCGTGACGACAGCGACACTCACGTTCGCTCGTGCTTTTCGCCAGCATTTCTACGGCCAACCGCCAGGATCGCGACAGGCAACAGCATGACACTCGCGTCATTTGTTGCCACATTGGGACCACTTTTGATGTATGGGCGGGATAGGGCGCTAAACGCACCAGTTGAAGACGCAATCGAGGCACCATAGCTGTAGTGAGGGTAGGCGCAACTCAAAACCTGGAGAGCGTTTGCAATTTAATGGCGGCGCCTGAGGGAGAGGATTCGAGAAAGGATATGCGCCAGTGTTGCCTGCACGAGAGCAGGCGCCCTCTCTGTTGACACTCTGTTGCTCCATGCGCCTTTCCTCCTTTCGCCTCCCATTGCAAGCAACGAGCGGCTTGGCGCAGCCTCTCATGCTTCCTTCTCGCTCCGAGAATTGCAAACGTCGAGCGGAGAAAGCAAAGTTGCCAGACAAGTTGCAACGTCCAAGATGGCGGAATTTACCATTTTTCGCGTTAAAAAAATACTTAACCTATCGCAACAAAACTGGTGGCTATGGAAAAGTAATCATTCATACCTTGTGTAAATTATTCAAGCACCTTAATGGGCTTTTATGACCTGAGTTAGGAAAGAAAACGACCCTTTGCCCCATAGACTCCCAGCAAAATTTAGCAATTAAATGGCGTCCATGTCCCGTGATCGCCGATCTAGCAGTTGCACCCACCCTCACTTGAGCCTCCCTAATGTTTACAAACAAACCAGAGCGCCCCTAGCGGACGCCACCGGCGCCGCGCATGCGCGATGGGGGTGTGGGCAAGAAGCTCACCGTCGCCCATAAACAAACCATTGGAACGCGATGTTGTCGGCGTCGGTGTAAGTCCCTCTGCCCTTTTTCACGTTCGAATTGTTGATTCTACGTCTTCCTGGCGATGTCTGACTACTTGAGCGGCGTAAGCGAAATTACCGAGGCTCGTTACACCGCAAAACTTCGCGTGAATAATGTGACATGTGGCGATTCATTCCGCGTGGACGTCGCATTATGTACGCTGAAGCCTGATTCGCATGATATTTCACTCGCAATTTTCAGTCGCGACGTCGCTCGGGCTGCAAAAGCCTGAACCGTAGCTGAGATGGTCGACGTCGATGCTGAAAATAGAAAGCAGGATCGAACCAAGTGAATTAGGCCTAACAAGTCGGTGATTGTTACTGGTAACAATGATCAACATCTCCTTGTATCTACTGTTTTATCGAGCCTGCTTACCAACCTTCAAATTTGAGTCTTTTGAAGGCGCACTGGACGTAGTCCGCATGTGGTCCGCACAACTTGACGGTTTTCTGGCGTTCATGTTGGAACAAAACAAATAGATCTGATGACCATAAATATCCGTGAATTCAACCCAAAGTGCTTCCCGCCCAAGCAATCGTTGCCCGACGGCGTCTGCTTTCCCCTTTTCACGGCAAATATCCATATTCTCGGACGAACCGAGCACGTGATAACTGACCTTCAAACCTTTCTCGACACTTTTGGTACGGCCCCAGTCGCGGCGTTTTGGCGAGAAGGTAGGTTTTTGTCTGGTTCCTTTCAAAACAACGCAGGAATACACGTCTGGTACGGGGACTTCTGCCCACAGTCCCAGACCGGAAGTGCGACCGACGCGCCACCACCGCGCCGTGACGTAACAGAGATGGCGCAGTGCCGTCGACAGCGCCACCGCAGCTGCGTGACGTCAGGGCCGCGTGTTAAAATTACAAAAAACAAGAAAAAATTAACCTCCTTCATGACGTCATTGGTCCTCTGTCCCCACTTTTCCCGCGCTGGAGGATTCCCCTTGCCGCGGTAACTGAGGAATGTGGGGAGAGAGGGGAAGATGGGGAAAGGAGGTGAGGCCGAGGAGCGAGAGCTGCCCGGTAACGGGGCAACACGAACGGGGCAGTTCTCTCTCCTCGGCTGACCAGGACCAACGTCGTCACGATTCCGTCACATGGCGCACGCGTTAGACACCACAGGGCGCCCCCGTAGGAGGAGGAGCAAAGGGCTCTGAGGAGGAGGTTTCCGCGTCGTCCGGTTAAAATATGACGCACTGATAGTTACTGTCTCAGTGCCCGCTGGGTTGCCCGAACCACAAGAGACGTAGCGCGAGAACTGATACCACAAATCGCGGACACGGCAGATTTGAGTTTCACGGTGCATGCTTGCAGGAACTCGCGCGTTTTACGGTGCGATGAATCCGCGGGAACCCGCTACGATCTGGCATGTCACAGGAACTCGGGTTCCGCGGCGCGTCAAAGACACGCAGAAACCGGCCACAAGCTCGCATGTTACCGATGCCGCAAATCGTGGACGGTACCGTTTCAAAGCGCGATAAATCAACTCCACCTAGATTAATCAAAGCCTAACAACAGGGATTATAAATTTCGACGTCATCACAGTGAGGTCGAGCGAAGACACCGGTTGGGCACGTGTTGCGTCAGTGCTCGGCTGGGCCTCGCGTTCAATCAACAAGTCGAAGGACGCTTGGCATTGGGTTCAATCGCCGAGGTGGCGCCATCCGACTGTGATGACGTTTCATAGAGGAAGAGTGGGGCGTTTAGAGGCCTTCATTATTCTAGATGGTGTTGGTTCAACACGCGGGAACCCGCTACGAACTTGCATGTCTATGTAGCCGATGTCGCGCGCGTAGCTCGTGGACACGGCAAACTCGGGTACCATGGTGCGATAAACACGCGGGAACCTGCTCCGAGCTCTCTTGTCACACGTACCAATACCGCAAATTGGGCGGTTGATCCGTCGGGAATAGGGGGTCGGTGACGTTTCGGAATTTTTAGCCTATGGATGATCAGCCAAACAAACGGGATGGGCAATCTCTCGGGGGACGGCGTTAATTGGGATTTTATCGCAACCCATGCCCATTTCATCCAGGTGAGCATGAATGAGAAAGTATTACCAGTGGCAGTATAAGTTACGATTGGAACAGGATTATGCGAGTATTTGAACAGTAGTTTTGAATCATATGCTATTCGATATTCGTTTCGACATGAACTGCGTCTGCGATATAGCCCCGTTGAGTGCGCTTCGTACCGAGCATCGGTGTATTGCGGAAAAGCAACATCCGCGGAACCGTGCACTGGTGCTTGGTACAAAGCGCACTCAACGGGGTTAACTCGCCGTGATCATTTTCGAAGTGGGAATATTAAGCAGTGATAGATTGTAGGCGAGATCGAGATTTTGTTGTGTTCGTCCGTTTTTTATCGTTCCCCATCTCAGGGTCTACAAGATGTGGGAATATTGCTGCCGGAGGAAAGCACTTTCAAATTGGGATGGAGCATGCGCGTACTTGGAGTAACTAAAAAGAAACGGAAAGTATGTGAATGTTGATATCTACATTGCAGCACAATTAAATCGTGGCTACTATTCAAGAGTATGTTAGGCAAATATCTCCTGACAAGCTATCAATCTTTTCAAATCCGTCGTTTACTTGCCATAGGCAT